GAAAATTCCCCTCTCAGCATGATGCTACTCCCACCACGTGTCTCTGTGCTTCCAAATTGGTTCTCTGTGTCCTACATGCTTTCAAAATTCTAGCTGCCTTCATCTAATGGGATCTAAGTAGAAATGGAAGAGAACTGCTCTATGCATTTTACCGAAGACAGCTTTCAAAATCTTGGACAGTTCAAACTTAAATGAGGGGCTGTTCCGACCGTAAGGCCATCACAACCGCAAGGTGTAAGTATGATTCTGTCGCTAAACTGTTGATAGCAATGCTAGCATATCCATGAGCCGCCCATGCTCAGCCGCAGGAGGGGGGCCGGGGGAAGCACGGGCCCCCCGGTGTCCAGCCTACCATCATCGGGGTCGGGTTCGGTCACACCATACCCCGCTGGCTCCCTGCCCACATCCGCCGGTGTTCCCGGACCAGCCCCGGAGCTGCCAGCTTGGTTTGAGAGCCCAATGTGTTTCAACTACGTGCTGCACTGTAATTGACCAAAACCCCTGACAATTTTGAAATTCCCCCTGGACATTTTGTTTTAGGAATAAAAAGTAAGACATGTCCGGGAAAAAATCTTTGCCACGTCCAAAATGAAGATTATAATATAAGATTATAACTGGACAGAGGAACTGGCCTAATTAGATAAACTGCTGGGAAACCATCATTTGGGAAAACAGGCAAGTAATATTAAGGTAAACTCACACATAATCACTGATAATTATCCCAACACAAAGATGTCAATAGGATTTAAGTCAGGGCTCATAGAAGGCCACTTCAACATGGCCCATTGTTTTCCTCTTAGCCATTCTAGGGTGTTTGGGTCATTATCCTGTTGAAGAACCATGACCTGAAACAGCTTCCTGACACTGGGCAGCACAGATTCTCTATGGAATCTCTTGATAGTCTTAAGATTTAATCAAACCCCACAGAGATTCAGACACCCTGTGGCAGATAAGACCCACGGTACAACAGAGCCTCCTACATGTTTCACAGAAGAGACAGTGTTCTCTTCATGATATGCTTCATTTTTCTATCTGTGAACATAGAGCTGAAGGCCTTGGCAAACTGTTACATTTTCTTCTCATCTGTCCATAGGGCATTCTCCCAGAGGCCTTGTGGCTGGTCAACATGTAGTTTGGTAAATTCCAGTCTGATTTGTTTTTAGCAACGGTGTCCTATTTGGTAATCTACCATTAAGTCCACATTGGCTAGTACAACGACAGGTGGTGCGATCTGTCACTGATGAACCTTGGACTTGAGATTCATCTTTTCTAGAAGTTTTATCTATTGTTACTGTTGTCAGATTCAAGTTATTTCTGTGATCATTAAGGTGGGTTTTCTTTTATCAAACAAAGGGTACCAAAACTTTTTTCAACCCATTAGTGGTTTAGATGAAACCTACATGGGTGGAGACTGTGTTTTTCCAAGAAAAACAACAAAAAAGAACAAAAAAAAAAGTGCCAATGTTAGTATAAGATAGCCAAAATGCCAAGGTAGCAGACCCCTGAGCTAACAGATCACAACTGTGATCCTATGTTGAAATGTTTGAAGCTTAAAGCCAATTGTAACTTTGACTAAAAAACATTTAAAGGAAAGGTGAAATATTAAATTGGACCAAGGAATTAATCTTTTTTGGTCTCTTCTGGCAGTAGATATCATCATAAGACATTGATTTGGTGTTACACTGTAATAAACTAATTTAAAAGAGTTGAAACTTCATAAAATCAATGCATTTGCCAATGGTTTGAGCATGTAAATTAGATGATCTGCCAGTGTAATGCACATGTTTACTTTCAAAATAAGATAATTCAATTGTATACACTTCATATAATACGAGTATATAATAAGAGTTTTTGATTTTTATTATTTTAAACATAAATCACGGGATGAGTTATACAGGGGCAGTGGCCCCCGTTTGCCCTTGTCTAAAACTGGTCATGTGTCAACCTGTGTATGTTAGCACAGGGTAAAGGGACTTCCACTAACAGTGTCACAAAAATAATAAAAATGTAAGAAGTATTGCATTCTAAAACCACTCCAAAAAATATATATTTTCTTTCAAATCAAGTTTATGTAGCTGAGTAAATGTAAATAGTTATTACCCACCTCTGGATCTGAGTAAAGGGGGTTGATACATAACACCGGGGATTTTCATTTGAAAACTGATGCACTACCACGTGTCTTTCTATCCAGTAAAATCCCATCAAAGCCTTTGTTTGTAACATGACAAGTTGTGGAAAAGGTTAAGAGTTATGAAGTTGATGATTGTAGATTAGATAACACATAATCTTACTTCCAGCTCTGCTTCAGAAAGGCGGTGTTAAAAAAAAAAAGTGTTCTGGCTACAGAACAGCTAATCATGAGCAGACTGCCTTAAAATGGACACTGGAGCATGAGAAATCCATTCTTACACTTAATAATGAGTGAGATATTATTACTCAGTGTGATTAAAAAACAGGCATGGATCTTGAGGTGTTACCTGGAACTTGATATAAGACAAATACGCCACAGTGAAGTCATTGCAGTTGGCTCACATTTATTTAAAATTTCAACTGGCGGTTGGGGGCAGGATCTTAATGATGCATCATGAGAAACACAGGATCAGCTAATTCTGTCTTTTCTCCCTTACAAGAGAAATACAATCTGTGTTCTATCCTCTGTTAGGAAGTGTTTGTTATGACAGGCAGTGGCTTGTATTAAGCTTTCCTCATCTGTCCAGTAACTCCAGTCACCTCCTTTCTCAGTGATTGTCTTTTAAAGGGAATTGGCTAAACCGGATTTTTGGATGGATTGTCAAATTAAGTGGGATAAAATATATATATACAAAAATTCTCAATTTTTTTTATTTGTTGACAATTATTGAAGAAGTTTGCAAAAAAGCAATTAGACAAGACATTCAGAGAGACAACACAGGTTTATTTATATAGCATATTTCAGTTGCAAGACAATTCAAAATGCTGTACATGAAAAAAAAGATAAAGAAAATCACATTGCAGTGACATAGGGACAAATGGTAAACAAATAACATATACATAATTCCAAAAAAGTAAAAAAAAAAAAATACAATCCACTGTACTTGGTTTACAAGTTTGTGGACATTTCGCTTCCCATCCAGGAAGCTTTTTCAATTCAAAATGTAAAAAAACTTTCCTGGATCTGAAGCGAAATGTCTTCAAACTTAAAAAACAAGTCCAGTGGATTGTTTTTTTCACTTTTTGGAATGACTATGACCTGGATGACTAAGAATCTTCATCAGCAACATATACATACTAAACAAATAATTAAAAACAATGGAAGTGAATCATTAGAATACCACAATTATATTAAAAATATTAAAATGTTGATAAATAAGGGGAAGATGGACTGAAAACTGAGCTAATTATGGTTAGATAGCACAGTCAAAGGCCACTCTAAAAAAAAATATGTTTTTAATCTTGATGTAAAGTGACTGAGGGTTTCTTATTAACTGAAGCTGTTTTCTAAATCTTGAATGCTCTAATTTGGTCCTGAAACGTTTGGTTTTGATTCAACTCAAGAATTGTTGCCTATTAAATCTATTGAATAGGAGGGACCCAAACATGGAGCCTTGGGGAACACCACATGTGATTTTTGATTTGTGAAGTTACATCCTGCCTCAGAAAATACCCTGCCCTTCGAGTCGTATTTAAACCAGTCTTGTTCTGAACCAGATAGGCAAACATTTGTGCATAGTATGCCAAAAGAAGTAGTAACTACTGTAAAAAGTATGACACAGAGAGACTAAATACAAATGCTTTATAGCGTGCTTTTTATGACACACTGTTTTTTTTGTAATATACCTCTGAAAACCATGTCGTCTTTTCTTCTACTTTGTACTTTTTCATTTCTCTGTTTTGCTTTATTACATTAAATTCAAACAAAACAGTGAAGTTTGTGGTTGTAACAATATGTGAAATGTTCAAGGGGCGTGTGCACTTTTGCAAGGCGCTGTATGCATAACGTGTATTTTGATTTGGACAGTCCACAGCTTTGGATACTTCTGTAGGTGTGCTCTGTTACCAGATGGCTAATTTAAATAGCATAGCTCAGGATAAAGATGTCTTCTGATGCTGCTAAAGGGGATTGATTTGACTGTAATTGTCATAATTTGCTACATTTACTCTATAGTTGGTATGAAAATATTCCTGATATTAGAAAAAATATGTGAGAACCAGTTTGTTATGACATGGGAGATCACCACTAGTATGTTAACATGTTGTTAATAAGGCAAGAAGATCTTGTTTGGGTTTTTTTTATTTTAGAGTTTAAATGAGTAATAAAGAAATAAATACAGACATATCTATACCTTAACAAATGTGACCTGAATGCTGGAATAATTGGAAAGCTAAAGGAGAGTGGAAATGTGGCCCTTAGGGGGCTGATTCAGAGGTCATTACCATACAGACAAGACAAAATGTCTTTTTGTCAAACAGGTGTTCAAATCAGGGAATATGACTTCCATAACAAATACCTGAGTAACTCTGTCATGTGTTTGTGCTTTTACAAAAATACGCTTTGAGCAATAATGAAGCAAAGCATGAATCTATTACACACAGTCATGTTTTTATAAGAAAGTAGGTATTCAGGGGTTGAGTTGACGTCAGGAGTTTATTCTGACATCTTTCAAGTATTTGCCAGACACCTATGGACATGCTTGATAATACCTGTTTGCTCCTTGCCCTCTGGCTAGAAGAGGGCTGGAGTAGCCTACTACATCCCCTTCTCCTCCCACATCCCTGTCAGCAGCTGGAAGCGGGCCAGGATGGGATTGGCTTCCTGCTCGGGCAGGAAGGAACTGGGCCCAGGATACCCAAATATGGAGTGGTGCATATCAGTTTGGATCACATGAGTCAGCTCCAGACTATATATCCTTGAACTGGAGGAAAACTGGTTGCTCTAGAAATGCTGTGATCACCTAAGGATCTATTAGGCTGCCAGGTTCACTTTCATTTTGATACATTCTAAAACATTTTTTTTTGTGTGTGTGTGTGTGTGTTTTTTTTGTTTTTTTTTTATCCATAATCTTGGATTTTAAGAGTCGTATGTTTACCTGGACCAAGTTTCCCATTGTCTTGTTTATAGCCTTGCGTTACTGGCAACAACGTCAATCTCACATCGGGAGGGCGGGACCTCTAAGGAAACAGCCAATCGGTGCGCAGATCTTGAGACGCGTAAAAGCAAAGGAGCGCACCGGCCGCTGCCAGTAATAAGGAAACTGAGGTGAAGTTAAGACACACGGAGCAGAGGAAGAGGAATGAAAACGTCTGAATAAATCTCTGGACTCCGCTTTGAATCCATCTAAAGGTACAAACCGACGACTTGGTACAGTACAGTTCCCATATTTTGGAAGTTTTGCTGTTTTTCATAGCTTTAAATAAATACAGCGGGACTTTGCGCTGGAGATTGGCACATTTGGGACACAGCAGCATCGTTTGCAGCGCACTCTTGTATTTGACTGTCTTTTTTTTTTTAAACAAAACAAAAAAAAACTCAATATGTCCACAATAATGGAACAACCTTTTTATGACGACTCGTTTCTCTCTGCTTATGGCCATCCAGGCGCAGCCCTGCCAGACTACAAGCTGCTAAAGCAGAATATGAACTTGAACTACTCCGATTCATATCAGAACTCGAGCTTCAAGGCACAGCACCTGCGCGCGGACACTGATTTCTACCCGAGCGCGGACGTGGGCTCTCTGAAGCTCGCCTCTCCTGAACTCGAGCGGCTGATCATCCAGAGCAGCAGCGGGGTCATAACCACACCGACCCCGGCCCCGTACCTTTACAACCGCGGCATCACAGAGGACCAGGAGGTGTTCGCGGACGGCTTCGTCAAAGCGCTGGACGATCTTCACAAGATGAACCAGATGGCGCCTCCGAACGTCTCCATCAGCGCCGGCGGGATGCCCTGCCAGGCTCCGGCGGCTGTTTTTGCCCACTCCATGCAGACGGAAGCTCTGGAGTACACCAACCTGAGCAGCTGTCCCACCAACCCCAGCCTGACCTCTGCAGCCAGCTACCCGTCCACAACCATCAGCTACCTACCGCACCACCAGTTCCACCAGCATCCCCAGGCGATGGCGCACGGCTCGCATCACTTCCAGCACTCCCTGCCCGGAGCCGGCGTTCACTCGCAGCGCTTCGGCGGGTTAAAGGAGGAGCCGCAGACGGTGCCCGACATGCAGAGCAGCGATAATAGCTCCCCGCCGATGTCTCCCATCAATATGGAGAACCAGGAGCGGATCAAGGCGGAGCGCAAGCGGCTGAGGAACCGGCTGGCGGCTTCCAAGTGTCGGAGACGCAAACTGGAGCGCATCGCCCGGTTGGAGGACAAGGTGAAGGTGCTGAAGACGGATAACGCAGGACTATCAAACACGGCCTCCCTGCTGAGGGAGCAGGTGGCCCAGCTCAAACAGAAAGTCATGACTCATGTGAGCAGTGGCTGCCAGCTCATGTTAGCGCCGAAGGTGAAGTCTTTCTGAAGATAAATATATATAAAAAATGCACTTTTTATTGAACACTGGACAGAAAAAGAAAAAAAACTGCACTGAAAAACAGACTTTATATGTGGCTCAAATAGAGCCACAAGAGAACTCTTACAACCTGCCTAAAAAAATAAAACCAAACACTTTGGGGCATTTTTGAAACTTTTTTTTTTTAAAGTGTCGTCTTGGCTCTCCCTGTTTACATTTGTTTGCCATTTGTGATGCTTTTTACGTGTATAAGTTATTTGTGATTATTTGGTTTTCTACCTGTACAGCAGTATTTAAGTAAAAGTAACGTGTAATTAAAAATGACAAGCTGCTTTCTTTTGAAAAACACTGTCTTATTTCTCGTAAACATAACCGCACGGTTGTCACTGATCAGAAGTTTACGCCAGAAGTTGCTAAACGTCCCAGCGTAGGACTTTTTTTTTTTTTTCCCCACCTCTCCTCCTTATTGACGTCCGTGCGTAAAAGCCAAATATGGCGTCATGTCACGACAAGGTTTCCGGGAACTCCCTCCTACACTGCCAGTCAGAGGCTGCGCTCTCCCCTTCACACCACAGCGCAGAGGTTTGTCAATGAGTTTATTCTAGTGAAGGGAGTTTCCCTCCTTCTGCTTTCAGTTTCCCAAAACAAGCTTTGTGATCAGCGGCCCAGGAAAGAGAGAAGATGGTTCCATGAAAACATGTCGTAATCAGGTTTTAGTTGCTTGTCGGAAAGAAAAGATTGGCGGTTAAATTTTACAGGTTTCTAGGGTGTGGGACCCAGCATTGCTACTGGTCCCTTCACTGGAATTAGGTATCTACAACCTGCATTGGAATAAACGAATGGAAATAGTCAAATTAAGCTTGAATACAAACAAATATATAATTATAGAGAATAAAATCAGGTTTAGGGGAAAACCCTGCATCCATTCCTGATTCCAGGCAGCATCACCTCCTAATGCAGTTAGGTTCTAGATCTGGTTAATGACCCACTTATGTCTAAACTGCAGGATCCCAGTTCAGCACCTGCGGTTAGGCTATAAGATGTTTGTTTTTTTTCCAATGGAAATGTTTTAATTTATAATCACCCACCATGCCCTCATTAGTTAGAAAATAAAAATGATTTAACAAAAAAAGAAAATCCAAAGGTTAAGAAGTGTATCTCTTGTTAAAATGAATACACACCAGGGCATGAAATAACTACTTCAGACCAATAATATACAAAGCAATGTTTTCTAAATAGTCATTTTTGGCATATGGTAGCCTTTTAGTTTGCAGTAAGCAACTAAAATGGAAAAAGGACTTTTCTAAAAAAAATAAAAAATGTAAATGAGTATATATATATAAAAAAAAAAAATCAAAATTCCAGATTACGGCTTTTTTTTTACCTCCATATTATGGTGTCCATGAAGAAGCAGCTATACTCAATTACCTTAACTTACAATAACATTTCATAGATCAGTAGCGCCTAAATCCAGTGGTTACCAACCTTTAAGGCTGAGGGCTTCTTCATGAGTACTGAGTCATAGGCAGCTGGAAGCCAGCAGGACAAACTGTACTCAACTACACTTTTGAGGTACCTATACTTTAATCCATTACTTATTTTTCTTCTAATTACATTTTCACAAAAGTATCTCTACTTTCTATTCCTTACATTTTTAAAAATTACTCGTTAGTCTTGGCTACAGTTTTTATGTTTATAAATATTTCAGGTCATTGGTGCCATCTGCATTTAGTGAATAGTGTAATTGGAGTCACTCATTGGTTAGCTAATAGAAATCAAAAGCAAGCAAGTGTTCTTCAAACTGCAAATGTAAATTGTCTATGCCATGCTACAATGTCGGATTCAGAATTTTTTTTTTAAATGTCTGACACAGGTGAGAGCGTATCAGGAGATGGAGACAGAAACCAACAAGACCTCCATCATCCGTGGCCCTATCTCAAAGAGTTTTAGAGTTTTTCAAAGTAGTTGAAAAATTGAGCTTTGAATTGGCATCTTGACTTTTTAGGTTACTTTATATTTTTATTCTTTAGTTTTTGTAGCACATACTTTTTCACTGGTCAGATGAAGGCCTATCAATGCTGACCTATGAACTAGAGGGGTAAGTGTTCACCTAAACTTTATAGTCATTTCCTTTAATGTCCAAATTTCCTTTTAGACATTTGAATTTGGAAATCTCTAAATGTTCTACATTTGCAAATGATGAAATGTTCTATAGATTTAACAAATTAAGGGGCAGAATACAATTTCAAAGTAAACACACCAGTGAGTGAACCCATGTGGTCCCCGTGTTGGTGACCGCTGCCTTAATCCAACTATCCCATCTTTCCTTACAGGAACTGAAGGCATTTGGCAACAGCAGGTTGTTGTGCTGAGTCAACCACCTCAATAACTCCAATATTAACCAAGACTTGGCAGCTTTGTGACGTACTGTGATCCTTTGCCAGGCAAAGCTGTTCAACAGCATCAGGTCCAAGAAATAAAAACACCCTTTCATGATTCAGACAAGTCTTTAGGTAAGAGCCAGTGTTTTGCTGTCATCTGGAGGACTTTAGTGAGATGACAAAAGACAAAAAAAAGCCACTCCGATTTTTTATCCCAATGCTTTAATAATGATGTTAACAAATCAATAACAGCAAGAAATACTTTTCTGAAAAAGGGGAAACAAAACTTTCAGTGCGTGAGACTATGAGGTTATCCCATCAACTGCAGACTGAACATACAAGTATAAAACTTGCAGAGGATTCGTTAACAATTGAATACTTTGTTCTAATGGGTTAGATCTGGACGCTATAGTGCTTTACAGGGACACCTTTAATCCAAAAACAAGTGCTGGGCTCATGAGTACAGCTGGGCAGTAGACATCTGGATTTACTGCTTTGAGAAGAAGGCTTTGCTCTTCTCCACGTCGGGGACAATTGTGTCGCTCCCTGGCTTCCAGCCAGCAGGACAAACTGTGCAGAGATAGAAGAGGGATAAAGTTTACTTCAAGTGCCAGAGACTGTTGATATACTACATTATCAGAGGACAAAGTACAAGTGGGAATGTCCATGATGATTGCCCAATAATAATGTTGGTTATACAGATAAACACTTAAGGTTCGTTAGATCCTTCATGTTTATGTTCCCTTTGACAAGCATTTACCAATTTACTTCCAGAGTCAGTCTGCCTTGTAACAATCCCAATAATCCCTTTTAATGTTCTTCCCCAGCATGGGCTGTTCTAGACAGGTTGCAAACAGGTGCACTGGCCCACATACAGTTACGGTAATAAAAGAGCCAGTTTTTTAATTCAAGTGTATTTTCCCTATGATTTAAAGAGGCAACACAATTTTCGAAAGGGATCAAATTATTTACCGGTATATTTAAAAAGGGAAGAAAAAAAAAAACAAACGGCTTCCTTATGTGCATAACAAATTGTATTTTAAGTTAAAAAATCAGCACTGCAAGGCAGATCCAAGTGTACATTTCGGATGTTTCTTCTAATAATGGGTAAATAATCCAATTCTGTGAATTTTCTCCCTAATATATATAAAAAAAAAAAAAAAAAAAAAAAAAACCCACACAACCACATGTCTAAGGCTGGTGCAGTTTTGTTGAAACTGAAAAGTTAAACCCTGAACAGCTACCCTCATGCCTTTCCATACTGTAAGATGTGTCAAACTATTGCCACTCCAACCCTGCTGAATAAAATGACTGGATTAAATCTAAATCCAGACCTTAAGCTCTGCCAACACTTTCTAACGGAACACTTCATTTAAAAACAAAAAGAACCTCTAAAACCTGCAAGCCGGCAGCCTTTGGGTCTAGCATCATACCCTGCACTGTTGGGTACAGGGGATAATCATGTACTTTTATGATAGGCCTAAAAAAGCCAGACCAAGTACTAACATTTGAAAACTAGCTGATGCTGGCATTTGACGAGCTGCTTTACAAACAGACTGGTTACTGAGTTATAAAGAGCCTTCAAAACCTGTTCACTACTACAATTACTACTTTGAGTGGCCCGACTCTTTCTACATTAGACAAAATTAGCTTACAGATCACATTCAGCAACTTTAAACACCATTGGTTTGGGTCAATATTTCAAGTTTCTGTCTTTAAAAGCCACAAGGATTTATAAAAACAAAGCATTAGATGAGGAAGCAAGAATCTTTGTTTTAAACCACCCTACATTAAAGGAGGATTCAAGAACTGAATTATTTGGAAGGGTGCATTGTGGGCTTTGGGCTTTTGTTGCAGCGCGACATAAAGCCACTGCACCAGAGCCCGTTGTAGTTAGTATTGCCTGAAATAAGAATTCAAATTAATGTTTAAAGCCTAGCATTCCATATCTAGATGTGTAAAGCATTAAATGCATGGAACCCCTGAAGTAGGCCTATCCCAGTCCAGCATATAGTGGGTAAATGAGAATGATCCCTGAATCCACTCACCCTCTCCATGTTTGTCAGTGTGCTGGAAGGCTTGCACCAGACGCAGGGTCTCGTCCACAGAACGACCCACAGGCAGGTCGTTGATGGTGATCTGCCTCAAGACTCCATTACCATCGATCACAAACAAACCCCTGAGCACAAAGATCCAAGGATTAGAGGACAGATTATACTTTGTGTCAGAATGAAGACTATTGTTCCCCCCCGCAAAAATAACTCAAACAGACCTGTACGCAATGCCTTCATCCTCCTTCAACACTCCGTAATCTCTGGAGATGGACTTTGTGAGGTCTGCTACGAGGGGGATTTTCATATTACCCAGCCCTCCTTGTTTCCTTGGTGTGTTGATCCTGAGGAGAAGCGGTGGGATCGGTTTAAGCAACAAATCAAAATGTAGAAATTTGAGCTACAGAAGGAGAACACCAAAGACCATGTAAGGCCTCGCCTCAATCCTTCTAGAAGTATTGAGCTGAATCTGAGGCCGTTAGCTAAACATTTATCAGCACCTGCAGAAGGACGGCCACACAGATAAAGCAGGGTGGGTTCTCCTTCAGTCCACTTTGTTAACAGTGCAGATATACACAGCAGGCTAGACCAACATTTACCACATTTTTCTAATTATTAAAGAACATTCTTCAATCCATTTTCATTCAAAGTGTTTAACAGCTTATGTGACTTAAATATAAATATAAGTTAGGCAATCTCTTTGAAAAAAAAAAAAAAAAAGTAAAAACATTTAGTAATTTTCTCAGGTTTCAAACCTTTTAAAAAGTGGACCAATTGATTTTCCCCTCGACAGGTGAACTGAATTTATATTCTTATTAAGATTACAAAGATAAAAGCTCAGCCCTAAAGTATAGCATTAACCATATAATTTACTGAAAACTATGCATTGATTTAGAATAAAATATATTATAAAAGGTTAAAGTAATGCAAAGGTTTGAGAATATCCAATAAATAAAAAAAAAAAAGTTTGGATGGATTAAAAAAAGAGCAAAATTCTTACTGTTCCTTTACCAAAAAAAAATGATATGTTAACACAACCAGCTGATGGATTCCCCAGCCATATGTTCTTCAGACCTCTTACCATGCCAAATGGGTGAAGTGGGAATCAATGGAGCACCCGATGACCTCACAGTTAATCTTGCGGAACTCCTCTGCCCTATCGCTGAAGGCAATGATCTCAGTGGGGCAAACGAAGGTAAAGTCCAAGGGGTAGAAGAAGAAGACCACATACTTCCCTGAGGCACACAGTAAAAAAAAAGTTTAATAGATGGATGAGGTGGGAAGTCGATTCTGGTCAGGCTGTATATGGTGCAGAAGCTGCAGTTAAGAAAAGTTAAAATCATGTTACCTTTGTAATCTGACAGGCTAATTTCCTTGAACTGCCCATCAACAACAGCTGTGGCTTTGAATACAGGGGCAGGTTTGCCAATCTGAGCGTTTCCAGAGGACATGGTGGTAACTAACTGAAGGAGACACCACAAACAAAGACATTAAAAAATAATTTTTTCTATAGGTTTAACACAAAAAGAAAGGTGCAGCTCTAATAAAGTCAAGTCGCAGTCTCATTTAACACCTGCTGGAGGTCACATGCAAGTCACAGTCTGCCAGTAGGGAACAATAGCCTCTTAGAAAGCTTATGCAACCAAAGATCCATCATTCACAGCAGGATTCATGCTTTAGTTTTGGATCTGAAACTAATTCATTTAAAATGCAACGTTCAGGATCAAGCATCATGTTTGAATTCATAACCACCTGGATATATATTCTTAACACGCTAATTAAACGTTTTAATTTTCACATGGTGCACTAGAGGACGCAGAAATTACAAAAGCAGTATTGCTTTTATTAGAAGGGATATTTCCTGCAACACTTTGGTGCGTTTGCAAAAAAACACAGCATTATTCTCTAAGCCATGCAGGCGTTTGTTAAGGTCGCATTTAAATTAGTTTTAAACAGCAGTGAAGTTAGACCAACAAGGGAGGAGCGGAGGAGTGTGAGCAGGAAACTGCGTTTCAGGAACAAAGAAAGAACCAGAAACATTTGGAAGAGAGGGAGCAATAACCCCACAGAGCCTGTCTGCTTGTTAGCTTTCTGTTAGCTTTACTCCTGCAGTATCGTTTCTTTTTTAAAAGCTGTGAATACGCGACAAAAAACAGAATCACTTAAACACGCAGGATTCGCTCACCTGAGGGTTGAAAGGCCGTGGAAAACTTGGCACCGGAGGTCTATGGCTTGCAGAAGGCAAGAGGAGTGTGAGAGAGAGATTCTGCGCAAGAAGTACTGACAGACACCGGTGACCTCCGGAAGTACAAACTGTGCCCTTCAAAATAAAACGCAGAGGCTGATAGTCTTTTTGCACAAAAGATTTAAATTTGATTTAACATGCTCTGCCTTTTGAATCCTTTAATCATCTTTTTTTTTCTGTCCCTTTTTTTAAACTATGGAGAGACATCAAAAATTGGTTGTCCCTTAAAATTGAGGACATCCAACAAATAACAATCACCCACGTGTTGTATTTATGTTTATGACCTTGATAGTAAAATTTCAGATATGGTTAATATTGTTTACTTGCTTGTCAAATATAATATACATTGCTGTAAATGGAGAGGTTATACTCCTTATTTTGATTTTTTTCTTAACCAATTTTAATTTTATTACAACTCATTGAAACATTTGAAATCTATTTCTGCCAAAAAAATAACTGCCAGTATTTCTACTCTTCTTTTGTTTTAAATCTTGCTCTATTCAATTATTCACTGGCGTTATTGTTTATGTGTCTGTTCTTTTTTTTGGCCCCATGTTTTTTTCTACCCATGTTGTAATGTTTGTACCTCAACAAGTCTTTGTACACTATTGGTTTGTTATATAAATTAAGTTTAAAAAAACAAACAAAAAGAACTTCTGTTTGACCTATCTACCAAGCAGAACTTTCCACAGTCATGAACTGAGTAAAAATGAGATGATTTAATATTTTGTTTATGATCTTTTGCATATATCACTCAAACCATTGTATTGCATCCTTGATAAAAGCATAGATTAAATGTTTTGTCAATCAATACTTTTCAGTCTTGTTTGCAAAGTTATGAAATAAAGAAACAGTTTCACAAAAGCAAACCTTACAAAGGGCAACTTCCTGGATTGGTATTTAAGTGATTCTAGACGTTAACCCACTTGGGGTAGATCAATAAATGTTTAGATGAATATCTATAACATTTTATACATGCTCCTTTAGATAATAATGAAACACATACAGTATATCTATATGCTTTTATTTGTAAAGGACAGGTCAACTGCGTGCCAGGCTACTTCCGGTTAGCCTGGGAGAAACTGATGCGCAGAGCAGTTATAATAAAGCTTGAGGGTGATTTCTTTTCTCAGTTTCTCATATATTAACGTATTTACGGTGAATGCTGATGTGTAGAATATGTAGTTTATGTGTGCTTTGCTTCAACGAGGCGCAAAGCCGTTAGCATGTGCTAAACATTTCATTGTAGAGTGAAACAAAAGGCAACGGAGGTAGCTTAGGTTAGCTTTTAATTGGATAATATAAGTCGGGATTTCACTTCGCTTTTTGCTTTGGTTTCATCGGTTTTAATAATATAAACGAAATTCATTTTTTTAACGAATAATATTGCGGGTTGATAGCTTATTTGAATCCAACAGCATCTGAGACATTTTTGAATGGGCTCATTTCACGCGATATTTTAGTTGTGTCGCGTTATTTACCCTGTTTTCTCCAGTGTTTTCCTCAATAATAATAATAATAACAATACTGTATCATTCTGTGTCTTTTTAAACTATTTTAGGCGCTCTGCGTTAAGACAACTCCCCGTTTTATCAGGAAAAAAACCCTGTGTCATCAATGCAAATGGACTCACAAGGTAAGATAGTTTATAATTTAGTTACCTCTATGCAGGGCTGCCAACTTTACTCGAAACCTTTGGTTGAAATCTATAAATAGTTTGGACAGGAAACCCTGTCTAGCTTACATGATGATAGGTGCAGCTATAGGTTGGAGGTTTTCAGAGGATTTAACTGAAACAAAGTGTCAAAATGTGGGATTTTTATAGCACAGTAAATATTACTGAGTAACAGTAAGTGATCTGTAGTTATGTTAGTTATTTTTCTCACAATATACATTATTTTCTACATTCTAGTGATTTTTAGAGAATTGAAGTAAAGCAGAATAGGCCCTACTAAAATACCTGCATCTTAAATATACTTTAAACTAAGAATTTCACAATTTTATTCATTACGGTAATTATTTTCTGCAGTTCAAGTAAATTAAACAATGGGGAACTAATAAGTTATTATTGGATTACTGGCACTGATGCCGGAACCAGTGCAATCGAATGCCATGCAAACTTCACTGTGTATGAATATTTGGTAATAAGCTAAAGAATAAAAAGCTTAATTCATTATATTATTAGTCTTTCTTAGAATTGACAAAACGGCTAAACAATTCAGCCCTTCTCGGAGGCTATCGATTTTATAAAAACTCACCATGACAGGAGACAGCACTTCTCTGGATGTTTCATTTGGAAAATGTGATGGAAATTAAGTTAACATATTCAATGGACCAAAATAAGGATATATCAATAATAAAATTAGAACATCCCTGTGGTTTCTTCTCTATGAATCCAGGATAACTGAATTGTTCTGCACATCCTTTCTGAATGTTGTTGGTCTTTTCGTGGGTGGCTGATCTTTTGAAAAATAAAATGCAATGGTCCTTTTTTCATTTTGTGGAGCTCCTGTGGGTTTGAGAGGCAAACCTGAACTCAAGTACTAGATTGCTTAAACGCTTCAATAATTTACAAAGAGAATTATCGTAGTGCAGATGAGATAAGATAAAAATTAAAATGACATACCTTGTAGGGACTACAAGGTATGTCAGTGAAAGGTGGAAATACGGACTGGATATGAACCTGGCTAGTCCTCGTCTGTTAGCACTAAGGTCATATTATAGATGTGGACTATTTTTTTTTTATCACCATGGTATTTTTATACATTAATTAGTGGAATGGAGTTGAGTTTTAATGTCTGTCATTTTTAGTGTGAGAAATTGGGAATATGGAGTGAGAGTGTGTGAAGACACTGAGATCAGTGAGTCTCACTCCCAATGGGTGAAAGTTAACAGCCCTGCTCTATGGTATAAAAGCATTGCTGTATCAGGATACCATACTAGTTTGGCATGAAATCAAAACTTTACACAACTGTTGTTTATATTTTTTTTTCTATTGAATTTTTTTTAGATTATTTGCACATTTATAAAAAGACAATTTCAAATAACCCAGAGAATATTTAAAAAATGTTTTTGGTTATTTATTTGTGTTTATTTGTTCACATAATTAACAAATGGAATATTTAATGTTGTTAAAAAGCAGGTTTCAAGTTGATATTGCAAAGTTTGACTTTTTCCATGTTCAATATATCTTTTTATGCCATTAATTATCCCCATGGTATGGAAAACTTTCCGTGGCATTGATATCAGGTTTGAAATGTTAGTATTGCGATAACCGTAGTTACCAGTAATTTTGAAAATCATAGCTAATGATTAAAAAAAAAAAAAAGGTTTTGTGTCCAAATTTTTACCTTTATATAAAGTGTGATTCTCCAAAACTCGACTGAATGAGCTATGGGGGGAAAAAATAGAGAAAAATCCAACTTGAGGCATTTAAAAAAATATTCTTCTCTTGTTTAAAAAAAAAAAAAAAAAATGCATTGCACATGGTAACAGTATGGCAGAAATGAACCTATATTTGTGTAATTTTAGATGAAGGAAAACAAAATAAAAAAAACTACGGTAAGAAAAAAGGAGGAAGAATCACATAAGACAAGAAAGAAAAAGACGTTTACTTTCCACAGTCAACACTTAGAGCTAAAGTCATCTACATTGCACTCATTACTTATTTAGCCCTGCTGTTGATTGCATTTTAGATAATAATATTACTAATAATAATAATAGTAATAATCCTCTTTTTTTGTAGAAATCAAAACCTTCATTTAATTTTTTCAAATGAAGTAAAAAAAATTTTAAATAAGTCAGGCATGGATGTTTTATTTTGCACAGATTCAGGATTCAGTGGTAGAAAGTTTTCTCCTAAACTGCAGTCATGAACTATTGTTTTCCATTATAATCTGTGTAATTATCAGTCTCCAACCTAATTCTCTGTGCAGCGAACTCTGGACCGGTAGTGTGTGAGGTCTGTGGGGCCTACTTTGAGACACGACGCGGCCTTTCAAGCCACGCCCGCCTCCATCTGCGTCAGCTCGGAGTGACAGTGTCAGAAAACAGCGGGGCGCCCATAGAGCTGCTCTACCAGCTCATTCAGGAGAAAGACGTCTCCCTTCCAAAGCTCACACCAGATACTGCTGCATCTCCTCCGCCGCCTCCTAAGAAAACATCCCAGCAAGAGCCAAAGACTCCTGCAAAGCAGGAGGACGCACAAACGCCCTCCAAGACAGCGACAAAGGTCACGGCAGCTCAGGGATCCCCACCCAAGCTGAAAGAAGCAGGGGCGTCTTTCTTCCCTTCCTCTCCTTCTTCTTCAAGACCGACTGAGGGCAGCAGCTCATCGTCAGACCAAAAAACAATTACCAAGCCGCTGTGGGCGCCGCTGGAAACAGATGCTCCTATTACTTTAGGTGGGTTGAAGCTAAAGCAGACAGATTGTTATTGATTCATCCAACTTAAATGTGCCACCATCTGCTTCACCTTCCTTCAAGTTTTAATTCAACCACATTGGAGGTATCTGAATCAGATTTAAGTCTTTATTTTGAGTACATTTTCCTTCCTGGTTCCGTCCATGTGTCCTGGAGTTAAAGGGAAGCACCACCACCATGTTAGACTGTCAATGCAATCTTTTTCTGAAAGAGGAGGTATTGCTTCATGTCTTAAGGTGTTTATCTTAAAGTCTTCTGTGACCTCCTGGGTCAATGTTTGGTTTGTTATTTTGATTGGCCAGTCCCTCCTAGGAAGATCAGGCCTTTTCTATCTCTCCACCATATATGGATAACGGCTCACTCTGAAGGTCATGGTCAGAAATGGCTTTCTAACCCATTCAGAATGATTGATATCAACGACTTTCTCTCTTATCTCTTCTTAAATAGAAGCTTTCTTCCACAGCTCTGAAGCTTGTAAAACATAAACAACAACAAAAAGTGGTGAACCAGTTTTTTAATGATTAAACTTTTATGTTTTCAATTTGGACCAGGCTGTTTTAGATGGCTTTTCTCTTTAGATAAATTAGATAATTCTTAATTGAAAGTGGCTTTTTGAACAACCTTGTTGTCTTTGACCAAACTAGTTTTATTCATTGATTATATTTGAAAAACATTGAAGACAATTGATAAAAAGAAATCCATAAAGAGACAAATGCATTTCCACAGCCTTGTAAATAATAATTATAATGATGTTAATATTATAATAAAATGTATTTGAAGAACTTTGTTTTTATAATAATTGTATTATTTTTCTTTTTTCATTATTTTAACAGCTTCAGAAACGAACGATGAGATCCACGTCTGCCAGCTTTGCGGCTGCTGGTATGAGACGCGTAAGGGCCTCTCCAGTCACGCTCGTGCTCATCTCCGACAGATCGGTATCCGTGAGAGCGACATCCAGGGGAGCCCAATTGAGTTTCTCTATCAGATCATGAAGGAGCAGGACTTTGAGCCAATCAGCAAGTTGCGTCAGCAGGAGCTGAAATCGGGTAGTCTCTCCAGTCCGTCCTCTAAACGTCCCTCTGATTTCACCTCCCCTCCCGCGTCCCCTGCCAGCAAGCGGCCTAAAACAGCAGCGGACTGCACCTGCGTTCTCTGCGGGGAAACGTTTGAGAACAGAAAAGGCCTGGGCAGTCACGCACGCTCCCATCTCAGACACATGGGAGTGAGCGACTTGGTGGGGAAGAGCTCTGCAATTGACACTGTGCAGGAGCTGGTCAGCAGCGGCGTTCTGGAACCGATGCATCTTCCAAAAACAGCCAGCTCCTCAGCAGCGCCGTCCCCAGCGCCGCCCTCTCCTGCAGCACCTGCTCCATCTGCAGCTGCCAGCCATCCCAGGACCTCTTTGCCACCCACAGGTCCCTCTCCCAGCCCTTCCACCAGCTCTCACTCCCCTCAGCCTCCATTAAACAGGGCGCCGAAAGCTAAGAAGGGATTCCGACTAGCTGTGGACCCGCTTCTTAGAAAACCAAAGCCTGAGCCTCTGGAGACGGAGATTTCTGTTCCACCAAAGCCATCCAACACCGACAGCACCTCTGTCATCCAGAAGTCTCCTTCAGCTGCTGTTTCCAAACAGCCTCCTGACTCAGGCGAAGGTAATAGTTTCTGTTTATTTTATTATCTTAAGATATTTCATTTTTATATCTAATAATTTCTTTGCTTAATTATTCGTACACCTTGAATTTATTACATCACGCACTTTAAAAGAGTCTGGTGTAATTTGTTAGGAGCCAAAGAAGGCATCATGTGATAAATTAGAGGCATGTGTTCTTTTAAAATGCACAAATTACAAAAAAAAAACAAACAAAAAAAAAGGGAGTAAAGTTATATTAACAGCAGTGTGCTCATTGTAAAGGAACCAATAAAATCAAAAGTCTCATTTATTCAGCTGCAACCTGCCTGTTTAATGTGTTGGTGGCTTCACATGAAAATAATTTTGACATCACTGATCTGTTGAGGTCAGGTGGCGGTCAGGCAAGTTTGCCATCCGATCAAGAGCACCGGGGTCTCTGAATCAGTTCCTAGCGTGGACAGGTACCAAGTCCTGCTAGGAAATGAAATCAGCATCTCCATAAAGCTTGTCAGTACAAAGAAATGTGACATGGAGAATTTCCTGGTAGATGACTGTGTTAGCCGTGGACTTGAGAAAACTCAGTGGATCATCCCTATCAGTTGAAATGGCGACCAAATTTTCTGAGACTCAGAATTTTTGGTCTTCCCTTCTCTTTATGCCATAAAGATGAAATTAAAACAAATAACGATTTTAAGCATTTAACTCTGTTTCATAAAAAGAAATAATCTAAAAGTTTCACCTTCTGAAATGAGCCAAAAAATAAAATCATTAAAGTCCTGAAACGATGGACAGGTTTGTGGTTGGTGCAAAAGAAAGTCGAAATCAAATGTCAATTTTGGTAAAAAATTATCTCAGTTTAGTTTGTTTGGCAAAGTCGTTCAGCCCTAATGTGAATATTTCTGAGAATGAGTTCTCCATGTTCCACAGACCTGCGCCCTCCACCCACAGTCCTCTGTGACTTCTGTGGGCAGCTGTTCGACACCCGGAAGGCGCTCTCATGCCACGTTCGTGCTCATCTCCGCCAGCTCGGCCTCAACTGGTCCATCAGGACATCCCCAATCGACCTTCTGAAAGAAGTCATGCTGCGGCGCGAAGAAAGGAAAGAGTCAGTCCAGAGCGGGTCATCAGCGGCGGGCAAGGCGTCGTGGGGTCTGCAAAGCTCCAAAAAGCCCCACAGGGAGAGTTTGTCATTCAAAGAAGGAGCGTCCAACTCTTCAGCCATGCCTGTCGATTATTCTATGAAAGACAAATCTCCACATGGGAAACCTGCCGCTGCTAATCTTGGTGAGTCGGTCGTGTTTTCACCTGAACTTATGATCAAATTAAAGACTTTCTTTATTTCTCCAGTGTGAGATTATGGAAATGCTATTGTATAGTAATTCATTACCAAGGTTTTTACACTTCTTCCCAGAGATGCCGATTAATGTGAGTCAGACCCTGTGCACGCTTCACTGCTTCTCTGCAGCACATGTTGGGATTATTGTAATCTTTTTTCATTTTTTTATTTCTTTAATTTAGCATTAAAAAACAACTAAAAGCAAAGTGACGAGTTTTTTTGGCACACTTCGTATTAAAAAAGAGAACTCAGAGGAGGCCAAATAAAAAACTGACTCCATGTCTGCAATCAACACTTGGCTGGGGCTCCTTTTGCATGAATTACTGCATTAGTGTGTCATGACCTGGAGGCGACCATTTGCCTCCCTTGAGAAGTAATGAAAGGCCAGGTAGCTTTGACAGTGACCTTCAGGTCATCTGCACTGTGGGTTCTGACGTCTCTTCCTCTCTACAAACAGGCCAATCCAGCAGCTAAACCACAGTCAATGAACCAAACCAGCTTTAGGCATCTTTGACAGTGTGGACAGGACTTGACATAATATTAAATAATAGACTCTTGGAATGCTTGAGCTTTATATACCCGTTAAGCTTAAACATATATTAGATGTACTTACATCTGAATCTGAGGTTTTTGGACCAATAAAACAACATCCAGTTATTTGTCCCTTGGCCCTGATCAGAAGCTTCTGACCTGGTTTCTGGTTCAGGATTGGTTGAACAAAAGGAATGCAACAGCCACAGATGACCCCGGTTTCCGTCCACACTTAGTAACTGTTCCTCCATCTCTTTAATCAGCTTTGCTTCACAAAATCCTCCCAAGAATGCTGTATTCTGTATGGCTAGTACACTTTTTTTCTTCCTCCACTTAACTTTCTATTGGAGTAAATACAGCCTTGTGTGAACATTCGGCTCCTTTGGCTAAAGTGGTGTGACGACTAAATGTGGAGGGTGTAGGCGACTCTCTGCTATGGTTGTTTAGTCGGTCAACGTGTTTTTGTTCCTGCATAACCGAATTTTGTGGATCATTAGCAGTTGTCCACAATCATCTAAAAAGATTAAACATTAGAAAAGTATCTCTTTTATGCGTTTAATTGTTGTAATATATTGGTTTTAGTGTCTAAATGTGACTTTAGTGACTAAATGAAAAAAATATCATTATATTTAATGGTTTTCTAACTATTTGAGAAACACATAAAAAACTTCAAAGTTCCCCTAAAGAGAAGCCTAACAGTTGAAGTAATGAAACACAGTGTGAAATATCTGCCAAGTCACAGTATCACTCATAAAACATGAACCCCTGTGTTTCTGCTTGTGTCATCAGACACCACCTGTGAGCTCTGTGGATTCGACTTTGAGAACCGCAAGGCGCTGGCCAGCCATTGCCGGGCCCACCTCAGACAGCTGGGCCTGTACGAATGGAAGGCGGATGGCGCCACTTCACCGATCGAAACCCTCAGTGAGCTGATCCGAAAAGACCCAAACAAGGTGGCCCAAATAACCAAACGCTACCGCTATGGAGACCTTTACATCAAAAAGGTGAGCTCCACGTGATTTTCTTTGTTTTTACATGATGGATTTATCAAGTGGATTCTGGCTGAGGAAATATATTTGTAAATACTGTTTGGCTTTTTTTCTATACCTATGTGTTTATGTTTGAGACAGATAAATTCTGTTAATAAAAAAAAATAAAGACATTTATTTTTGTATTAAGACGAGGAAGGTACTCCAATCAAACCTGGTTCTGTTTTATTAATCGAAGCTAAAAGGTCAATTTAAATAGCCAAAACCAAACCTGATATCTGTCTCATCCTAGAGGTTCTGAAAGAACCCAGAACAACATTATAAGCCTCACTTAGCTCTGTTAAAGGAATAGTACACCCAGAACATGATTAGCCTTCATTTTCTACTCACCCCCATGCTGAACAACACTCTGGAGTACTTTTTTGATATCTCAAATGCATCTGGAGATCTGGGAGGCTTCTTGCTGTCTGCTGACATTCAAATAATGGAGGTGCCCAGCGCCCGAGGCAGAAAGGTCCATAAAAGTCCACAAAAAACGTGTCAATATTCCTCCATACTGCTCGTCCAATGTATTCCAAGTGTCCTGAGTGGGTAGCATCCAGAATTTACTCGAAACGAAGTCATTTAGAATGTTTTTAGAGCATAAACAGTAGTGTATAGGATTTCCTGAAAGCGCGCGCCTGCGCGTTCACGAGGCTACGGAAGCCGGCAGACCAAACCAGATGAAAGTGCGCATTCAGCGTCTGCTCTGCCAATAATGCAAGCGTAGAAGAAGAAATGTGCTGTTTACCTGTGCAAAGAAAGAAACAACGAAAGAAAAATGTCTGAGGACTTCAGTGTTGAGGAAGAGCATGAGTTCTTTGCCGAGCTGAATGCGCACTTTCATCTGGTTTGGTCTGCCGCGGTTTCCGTAGCGTCGTGAACGCGCTTTCAGGAAATCCTATACACTACTGTTTATGCTCTAAAAACATTCTAAATGACTTTGTTTCGAGTAAATTCTGGATGCTACCCACTCAGGACACTTGGAATACATTGGACGAGCAGTATGGAGGAATATTGACACGTTTTTTGTGGACTTTTATGGACCTTTCTGTCTCGGTCACCATAGACCTCCATTATTTGAATGTCAGCAGACAGCAAGAAGCTTCCCAGATCTCCAGATGCATTTGAGATATCAAAAAAGTACTCCAGAGTTTTGTTCAGCATGGGGGTGAGTAGAAAATGAAGGCTAATCATGTTTTGGGTGTACTATTCCTTTAAGGTCGGTCTTAAAGCGATAGTTCGGTATTTTTGACATGAATCTGTATGGCATCCCCATCACCAGTGTCATGCAATCACACTGACTTACCCCTGGCAGCGTCCTGTGAGCAGAGTTATCGTCCAGTTTTGGTCAAGCCGAAAGTAGTCCGACAGGTTTTTAGAGCCAGCGAAATAAAACGTTTCTCTTCCCAAAACATTATGTGTTCAAAAGAGCGATGTTTTCGCATCCCAAAAACATTGTAGTGGAAAAAGTCCCACGTCGTTATCAATTGGTCCTATTTTCTCTCTGTTCGTATCAGTGCGCGCCGTCATTCAGACAGCGAGCCCAACAACAGCCATGTCTCCCTCCGCCGCGGAGGGAGACATGGCGGTGATGGGGATGCCATACAGATTCATGTCAAAAATACCGAACTATCCCTTTAAGCCGGGCGTACACTGCGATTTTTTTTTTTCAGTTGTTGCACGCAGCTGCTGCTCACACTGTACGACTAATCGCAGGGTTTAGTCGTAACATTGTGAGCTTACAGCTCACAATTTATGTTCAGCCCGACGCTCTGATGCAATCTATCTGCTCACACTGTACGACTGAAAACCACGTCGGTCTCAGCTCTGCAGTGAGATGGAGCTGCTCTGTAGCTCTCTATCCTGAAGCCAAACAAATAGAAGAAGGATATAAAGCTCACTATAGTGAACCGTGCTGCCTTGGCAATTTGTGCAATTTTGTGCTGAAAGCCCTAAAAAGAAAAGGCGATGACGTATTTGAAAAAAAGACATGGCTGAGCAAACGTGGCTGCTACGGTCTGTCAATTTTATAGAACTGCATTTCACTCATTGCACCCCCGCCATGCTGCTGTGTTTACATCTGAGAGGAAGAAGAAAAAGAAGAATCCTTCTTGCGCTCTGAGCGATTTGCCCAGGACTGTCGGGATCGAAAGATTCTCGCACGACTGGAAAATCACACAGTGTACGCTTGGCTTTAATGATTTAGCAGTAAGAAAGTGTGGACAAACATAGCCTCCATGGTTGAGTCCATGGCCCAAACAATTGCTGACCAAAAGAATAAAAAAGGTCAGTCCCTTTTCGGAAGGTGTCTGACTCCAAAGAACGTCAAACCTACAGTGACACAGTGGTGGCAGTGTAATGCTGAGGGACTTCCCAACAGATCCTAATAGTTGATCAATTCTGATGCCCTTCAGAAAGTGTCTATCCACTGACAAGTCAAGGTCAAACAGCAAATCATGCAGGTACTTTTTCAGGGTTTTTGATTTATACCATGTAAATGCCTTGAACTGACTTTAAACATACAGCTCATGCTGGACAGGGGAGTTGAAATGTAATAAAAACAATTCTAAAGAATGCTTCACAGCTACCAAGAGTTCCATTTTGCCTACTGACCAGTCTGTTTGGAAATCTGCATTTTGTATTTACTCAAAAAATGAATAATATTTGTGTTGTGAAAGTGCAAAAAAAGGGTAAATAGACATACGGTGAGGAAAATAAGTATTTGAACACCCTGCTATTTTGCAAGTTCTCCCACTTGGAAATCATGGAGGGGTCTGAAATTGTCATTGTAGGTCCATGTCCACTATGAAAGACGTATTAAAAAAACAAATCCAGATATAAAAATAATTTGTTTGCTATTTAATTGTATGATACAACTTCAAATATGTATTTGTACACCTGTCTATCAGCTAGACTTCTGACCCTCATAGTCTGCCTTCAAAATGTCCTCCTCCACTCCATTTATTATTCTAAATTAGATGCACCTGTTTGAGGCTGTTAGCTGCATAAAGACACTAGCCTGACGTAGTCCGACTCAATTCTAGTCAGAATATGAGTCTGATACTGCTCCATAGAGCTGTGATTATGGGGCGTGTTTTGAACGAACCAGGAAAAAAAATGCCTCTGTACTCAATTGGATAGACCTACAACCAATAAGAGCAACGGAGTGCGTGACGTATCTTAAGCGAGGCATAGTTGTGGTCCACAAAAATCAAAGCGTGCAGTTTCACGCCTAGAATAAGAAGATGAGACTTGATCGCGTTTCTCTGTTCCTCTTTTAAAATTAATTTGCTGTCGATATCTTCTAGAACAGACCTAATAGCAGAATCTACTCACCCAAACTCTCCAGCGGCAGCCATTATTGTTGTCTCCCAAGCGCGCTTTGGTCACGTGGTTGATAACGTTACTCTTGATCATCTGTCCATCATCGTATAAAGCCCGCCCTGACAATTTGATTGGATCGCCTGACAGTGGGCTTTAATACTCGCGCTACTATGGAGCAGAGCCAGACCGAACTTCCCCGAACTCAAACCTTGTGGGCGGGACTAAGTTCGGACTGGCACCCAGGCTATAAAGACACCTGTCTACCCCATACAATCAGTAAGAATCCAACTACTAACATCGCCAAGAACAAAGAGCTGTCCAAAGACACTAGAGACACAATTATTCACTTCCACAAGCCTGGAAAAGTCTACTGGGAAATAGGCAAGCATATTGGTGAAAAAAGGTCCACTGATGGAGCAATAATTAGAAAATAGAAGAAGCTAAACATGATTGTTAATCTCCCTCGACTTGGGCTCCATGCAAGATCTCACCTCGTTGCAACTCAATGATCCTAAGAAAGGTGAGAAATCAGCCCAAACTACATGGGAGGAGCTGGTTAATGACCTGAAAAGAGCCGGGACCACCGTTTCCAAGGTTACTGTCGGTAATACACTAAGGGCCGGATTTATCAAGATCCAATTTTGCGTGCAGTAATTTGCGATCGCAAACTGGAATTTTGTGCGAGGGGCTGAACCATGGTTTGCGGGTTATTTAACAAGAGCGATTGCGTAACTGGTGGCAGGTGCAAAACTGTTTAAATGATGGTTTTGCGTGTTTTGTGGTTTGCGGCAAAGTAGTTTGTAGTTTGTACAAACTAGTGCATTAAGAAATTTTAATCTTACAGTGACACCCCCACCCCCTCCAAAAAAAAAAATATATATATTTATATATATATATATATATATATATATATATATATATATATATATATATATATAAAAACTTTGGCAACCTTTATTCCCTAAGGTGGTATGTGGCTGAATTTCTACTTCACTGCAGTAAAAAAAATAAAAAATAAACAGGTGTTTTGTATTGGCCTGTAGAAAAATGCACATACCAAATGGCTCACAAGAAGTGACTGTGGATAAGATGACTGCGCATATGCACCCCCGCAGCATTGGCATGTTGCTCCACAGGCGCAAGGAGGAGGTCGGGGTTCTCCGTTAGGGCGTCAGGGCGACATAGCATTTAGAACGTCGGACAGCACTTCTGAAAAATGAGATTGGGAGATCCCAGATGCAAAAAAGTGCAATGTTGCAAGGAGTTTTGTGATATCTGGTATTGCATGGGTCCTCCTTGTGGCTGGCTCCAAATCCATTCGGAGTTCCCCCAACAGCTCCAAAATGGCAATGCTGGATAAACGATATGTTTTGATGATCGTTTCCTCGTTCATTGCAAAAATATTCACACGGAGTGAAAAAATGCGTTCTCTGCGTCTCCTTGCTTCATTTCGATGTCTCCTTCTTGCGACAATAACCGCTTCCATGTGTGCGCAATTACGCATACAGACACCTTCTTTTGAAACGTGTTAAATATAGAGTCAGATACCGTTAGCAAAATTGCTTTCAGGTTTAATAAATCACTTTGCGAGTGCTAAATTAATATATTTACATGTTCTCCTCCCACAAGATGCACTTTTGCATGTAAACGCCCCATATTGCATATTCATTGCAGAAAAAGTACTAAATGGATAAGAGGCGCTATTTAGCACGTTTTAAAGACCAAATCCTTTTAGCACGCTGTTGATAGATCAGTTTGTACATTTTTTAGCGTGCGCAGTGAAATAGCTCACGTTTTTATGCACGCAAACCTTTGATAGATCCGGCCCTATGACGTCTTGTTTGAAATCATGCATGGCATGGAAGGTTGCCCTGCTTTAATCAGCACATGTCAAGGCACAACGTAAGTTTGGCAGTGACCATTTGGATGATCCAGAGGAGTCATGGAGAAAGTCATGTTGTCAGGGTTAGCAAAATACAACTGAATGATGAGTACCATCCCAAGAACACCATCCCTAGTGTGAAGCATGGGGGTGGTAGCATCATGCTTTGGGAGTGTTTTTCTGCATATGGGACGGGGCGACTGCACTGTATTAGGGAGAGGATGAACGGGGCCATGTATTGTGAGATTTTGGGAAGCAACCTGCTTCCCTCTGTTAGAGCGTTGAAGATGGGTTGAGGCTGGGTCTCCAAACAAGACAGTGACCCAAAGCAGACAGCCAGAATAACCATGGAGTGGTTCAGGCAGAAGCATATCAAGGTTCTGGTGTGGCCTAGCTAGTATCCAGACCTAAACCCAACAGAGAATCTTTGGAGGGAGCTCAAACTCAGTGTTTCTCAGCGACAGCCCAGAAACCTGACTGATTTAGAAAAGATTTATGTAGAGGAGTGGGCCAAAATCCCTCCTGCAGTGTGTTCAAACCTGGTGAAAAACTACAGGAAACATTTCACCTCTAATTGCAAACAAAGGCTAATATATCAAATATTAACATTGATTTTCTCAGGTGATGAAATAGTTATTTACAGCTGTATAATACAAATAAATAGTTAGAAAAGCATACATTATGATTTTATTTTCTTCTAGATTATGTCTCTCACAGTGGACATGCCCCTATGATGACAATTTCAGACCCTCCATGATTTCTAAGTGGGAGAACTTGCAAAATACAGGGTTCCCGCGGGTCCTTAAAAAGTCTTAAAAGGCATTGAATTCTTCAAAATAAAACTAAGGCCTAAATTGGTATTAAAATGTCTTAAATCAGTCTATCGTAAGTCTTAATTTTTAAAACATTATAAATAGGATTATTTTTATTACAATTTATTTTTGTAATCTAAATAAAACGTTAAAATTGACAATTTTTTTTTTTTTTATAATAATAAAAAAATAACGGCTTGCCATTATCGGTTCCGCTATCGGGATGGGACCAATAATGGCATCAATGAAAGCGTTGTTGCAGCCGAGACATTTGGGAGATGCACCATTAACTTTTTGTCTGGAAAATATGAGCAAGTGTGAATGTAATGAAAATTGGCTCCAGCCAAGAGTTTTCTCCATGGCTAAACCAGGGAACATACATGAGGCACAGTGGATTTTGTGCAAAAAGCGATTCAAGCTCGGAACGATGGGAATTAAGGCAGTGGAGTCGCACATGCGAAGCACGAAACACAAAGCGTCAAAATCGAGTTACAGAGAAACAGACGGTATTTCTCAGTTTTGTTCCACCCTTGTCTCTGCAACGCCTCCACTTATAACCAAATCAAACATACTATGAAAACTATACAAAGAAAAATAGCTGCAAAAAAGACTTAGCACTGGTTATGTTGGGGCTTTAAAACTGATTTGTTTTGTTCCCTGCTAAAACAAAGTTTGTGAATTTAGTTAAATAATTGTTAAAATATATCTGTCATTTGTGTGTTTTTAGCTTTCTTCCTGTATGGGAAGTTTTTCAAAATTTGAAACATTAGTGCAATGGTTTATGTTTGGGTTAAGTTGCCGCAAGCAGGTTCTTCTTGTGTTTCTTTTGAATTTGGTCTTAAATTTTTATTTCAAGTGGCATTAAAAAGTCTTAAAAAGTCTTGAATTTATCTTGCCTTATGCTGTAGGAACCCTGAAAATAGCAGCGTGTTCAAATACTTATTTTCCTCACTGTATTTCTATTAGCTTGACTGTGTAAATGCTTTTAGTCCCAGAGATCTGCTTCTTTGCCGTCAACAAATTCGGACGCTGTGCAGAGCAGCACCCCTACGGCATCTCTGCACCATCATGAGCACAAAGCAAGCAGGAAGGACCACAGCAACCACATTGTCCGGACAGCCAGGGGTGAGAAAAAGTAGATCTAGTAGAGCTGAAGGGTGATCTATATATTTCTGTTGTTGTTAATTTATTTTCTCTTTGCTTCAGGGGTTCATGCCCCACAACATGGAGTGACTTCAGCAGAGGAAAATCGCCACTCGCACTCTCGGCAGCCGTCACGGTCCGGCAGCATCCCAGCTCTGCTACCAAAGCCTCCCCTGACCCCACTGGTCAAACTGGTTGGTAAAATCTACTCCCTCAAATGCAGGTAATGATCTCCTTAAATTACTTTGTACATTTAAAGGGATAGTTCGGTATTTTTGACATGAATCTGTATGGCATCCCCATCACCAGTGTCATACAATCACACTGACTTACCCCTGGCAGCGTCCTGTGAGCAGAGTTCTCGTCCAGTTTTGGTCAAGCCGAAAGTAGTCCGGCAGGTTTGCTAGAGCCAGCGAAATAAAACGTTTCTCTTCCCAAAACATTATGTGTTCAAAAGAGCGATATTTTTGCATCCCAAAAACGTTGTAGTGGAAAAAGTCACACGTCGTTATCACTTGGTCCTATTTTCTCTCTGTTCGTATCAGTGCGCGCCGTCATTCAGACAGCTAGGGCCTACTAACCTGACAACAGCCAGATGCATGTCTCCCTCCACCTAGCTCCTAGCTGGGCGGAGGGAGACATGCATCTGGCTGTTGTCAGGTTAGTAGGCCCTAGCTGTCTGAATGACGGCGCGCACTGATACGAACAGAGAGAAAATAGGACCAATTGATAACGACGTGTGACTTTTTCCACTACAACGTTTTTGGGATGCAAAAATATCGCTCTTTTGAACACATAATGTTTTGGGAAGAGAAACGTTTTATTTCGCTGGCTCTAGCAAACCTGCCGGACTACTTTCGGCTTGACCAAAACTGGACGAGAACTCTGCTCACAGGATGCTGCCAGGGGTAAGTCAGTGTGATTGCATGACACTGGTGATAGGGATGCCATACAGATTCATGTCAAAAATACCGAACTATCCCTTTAAGGAAAATGTTTGAGTTTTAAGTTATAGGGATTATATTTCTTTCACTTCTGCTTATTCTGCCTTACAGATTCTGTGAAGAAGTGTTTCATGGACCCCTGTCTGTTCAAGAGGAGTGGATCACCCACCTGCAGAAACACATCCTGTCTCTGGGCTACAAGGGAAAAGAGGCTCCTCCTCTTCCTCAGCCTGCTGCATCTGCTCCTCATGCTGCTGCACTTGTCCATCCAGTGGCCGTGTAGGCTAATAAATGCTCTCTAAAAATGTTGTGAGTTTCCCGTTTCAATCTAACCTTGTAGCAGTCAGATTGTTATGTGTATAACTACATTATTTGATTGTTTCCAGCTTGCAGGGCAAGGTTAGTTTTAATCTCCCAAAAGAAAAACAATGTCTTTGTCAATAAAATGTCCACAGCGGGGCAGGCATGAGCAATGTGAGAGAGGCAGCTCAGCCTTATCTACTCAGGTAAAATCCAGTTTTTGTACAGGTTCTGACCACTTCCTCCTCCCCCCCATAAAATGTGTCAATCCCTTTTTTTATTTGAGCAAATGAAATTTCGTGTTCTGTATATTTTCTAGTTTCTGGTCAAAATCAAATTTATACATTTTTTTTTTCCCCAAAAGAAATTAAATGAAATTGTTCAGATCATTATTAGGTGCAAGTAAAAAATTCTTTTTTTTCTTTTTTTTTTTTTTCTTTTTTGGAAGAGGAACATGTGATGGCTTTGAAAAATAACCCAAAACATTTTCTTAGTAAAACAACAGTCCACCTCTTGGGTACATTAGAGTATATTTTTAAGGTTTAACAGCAAATCATCCAGCTTTGTCAAGGTGTTGATTTTTATACAATGTAAATGCCTTGTATATTTCTTTTTAAATTGATGATATGTGTAAAAGAAGTAATATTATGTCACAAGTTTATTATAGTTTTTACCAGCTTGGGTTATTTCCAAACTCCATGGGATGTACAGGATTTCAACATTAACTTATCCTGAGGCTTCATTGTTAGGTTATTAGCTGTCCTTTTCTACTGAGATATTTTTAAATGGCTGTTAACATTAGTCACGCTTAGATTGGACATATCCTGGGTGTTTTCTATTGAGTCTATTTACCTGTAAATAAAATCATGTCTACATTCTTTCTTTTTTGGACTGTTCTTTTCAAGTAGCTCTTCCTTCACTATTATCTTTATAGAAAGTCTGTAAAAGAGTATATTCGGCTCTTTATAACACTGACATTCACTTTATAACATTTCTGCATTGTTTTTTTTTTTTATCTTAATGTATAAATTAAAAGAAACAAACCCCATAAAGATTTAGTCATTTATTGAACAGTTAAGACTGGTATTTAGTTGTATAACAGGAGGGAGGCAGTGTGTTTTGATGGGGGCACAGTAAAGCATGAAATAAAAAACAGGGATTAAAATATATTAAGGTAGCTGCATGAGGTGAATTTTCTATTCAGTTAGGTTTAATTAAAATTCTATTATTAGGTCAATATACACTCATAATTTAGGAATTGTAATTTTTTATTTACGTAAGTTAAAATTACCATTTTCTATAAAATCTATATTAGTTTTTTTTTTTTTTTTTTTTACATTTGCTTTGAAAAAAACAGCAGATGAAAACTGGGATCCTATTTCAATCCCACTGAAGCTATCACCTCATTGTTTTGGAATAATTAGTAAAACAATTTGTAAAGAAAACAAATGAAATCGATCCGAAGGACCTATCAGTAACCATGTCTGTTTCAGCGCATATCATCATTAGAACTTCTTTGAGTATTATGTCTTCAGTATAGGGGCCAGAACATGATCTACAGTGGCCCCTGTCTAGAACCAACCATGTCCCTATGTCCTCCAGAAGTCTTAGCCTATAGCAGCATAACTATTTATATATATTTATTAAAAACAAAAGTTTTAAGCCTACCCTTAAAAGTAGTCAGGGTGTCTGCCTCATCGACTTAAACTGGTAGTTGGTTCCACAGGAGAGGAGCCTGATAACTAAAAGATCTGCCTCCCATTCTACTTTTAGTAACTCTAGGAACCATTAGTAAACCTGCAGATTGAGAGCGAAGTGCTCTGTTAGGAACATAAGGAACAATAATATCTCTGATATAAGATGAAGCTTGGCCATTTAAGGCTTTATATGTGAGAAGGAGGATTTTAAATTCCAATCTGAATTTAACAGAAAGCCAATGAAGAGAAGCTAGGATAGGAGAGATATGATCTCTCTTTTTCATTTTCATCTTAACTCTGGCTGCAGCATTTTGGATCAGCTGAAGGCTTTTAACTACAGTTTGTGGACTTCCTGATAGGAAAGAATTACAATAGTACAGCCTTAAAGTGACAAAGCTTATTTTTCAAGGACTGGTCCAAAGAATATAATTTCTGTTTTTTCTGCATTCAGGAGCAGAAAGTTAAGTGCAATTTTCCATCTAGTTTCCTAGCATTTTGCTTCAGAGTGTGCAGCTCAGCTTTAAACCAGGGAGCCAGCTTTCTATTTTTAAAGTTTCTTCTTCAAAGGGGCTGCGTTGTCTAAGGCAGTACGCAGATAATTAGCAACCCCATCAACAAAATCATTAACCTAGGAAGGGAAATAAACTAAAGTTTTTTCCCTTTGCAGCACTGCTCAGCGACAGAGGAGAGAGAAAGGGAAACTGATTCTTTAAAATTTATAACTGCACTATCTGATAATGATCTGCTAAAGTAAAACCTTCTTTTAGGGCAGGAGAACTCTGATAAATCCTGAAGGTTATTAAAAAGTGGTCAGAGAGGACAGGGTTTTGAGGAAATGCTGTTATTTCTTCGCATTCCATGCCATATGTCAGCACAAGGTCCAAAGTATGAAGATGAGAATGTGTGAGACTATTCACATTTTGAACAAAGCTAGTAGAGTCTAAGATAGCATTAAAGGCTGCATTTAAGCTATCACCTCTAATGTCAGCATGAATGTTAAAAAACCCCACTATGATGACCCTGTCAGTATTTAAATGGTAAATGGCCTGTACTTATATAGCGCTTTTTCAAGTCAGGAGACCTGACCAAAGCGATTTACACTACATTCAGTCATTCACCCATTCACGCACACACTCACACTCACACACTGATGGTTAAAACAAAATCAGATAGGAACTCTGAAAGATCATCTAAAAATTCAGAGGAAGGACCTGGTGGAAAATACAAAGTTACAAAAATAAGTTTTCTTGCTTTGCAATTTGAATGAGGGAAAATAAGTATTAAATGTTCAAAGGAGTTGTAATTATTAACTGTCTTTGGAGTAATGAGTAAGTCAGACTGAAAGATTGTGGCTACTCCTCCTGCTCGCCAAGAATTTCTGGTTATGTGAAAATTCAAATAACTAGAAGGAGTTGGCTCATTTATGAGGCATTATAAAAATAAATAAACCTCCTCTTGCTGCAGCCAAGTTTCTGTAAGGCAACATAAATTAATGTGATTATCACAAAGCAAGTCAATAACTAACAGACTTTTTTTTAACTAAGGGCGCGTAGAAGGTCTGGAGGTTTTTTTATTCCAGTCTTTGTTTTCTAAAAAGTCATGAATTATATTGAGTACTTTCATTCTTTTCAAGTCTGTATTTGAAATACTTAGTTTACAGCAGGCCTTTCTTTAAAAATGTGCTTGCTTTTGAGATGTTACCTTTCTACTTAGCATTTGCGTGAACATTCTGCATCGATGCTGAAGAAACTTGGACAAGCACAGTTTCTCAAATTAATGTATTTTGGACCTGAAGCTGCAAAATACAGATTACAGATATTTTGGTTTTGCTAAAAAGTCCTTTGTTAGCTGTTATTTGATTTTCATGCAAGTTTGGCCTTTATTGGCCTATTCTATTAGCCTGATAAACCAGACCAAATGTGAGATTAAATGTGTAATATAGTCTGGCACTGATGAATGAGACATCGCAAGATTGTTGATGAGAACAACCCGTTGTCTTTCAAACCATGTCTGTGCCTATTCGCCAACGCTCTGACCAATGAGCACAACTGACTGTGACGTAGTGAGCACAACAGAAAGCTGGTGTGGGACTGTAAACAAACAGCATATGATGTGAGGAGTGGATAACTTGTTGAGATCATGGAGTTGGACTATTGTTGTCATTTGTGCAAAAAAGACATGCGAATAGTCGGTTTACTGCACCACTGTATACAACGTTTCTGAAGTTCAAATCAACCGTTGTCAGTGGCAGAAAGATTACAGAAAGTTGGAGTGAACCTTTTGATTATACCGGGGAATTCCAATCGAGTCTGTCGAGCTTGTACAACGGTGTTGAATAGACTGGAAAGAGATCTGCCAATTTATTGGAGGTGAATTGAAAATGAGGTCAAAGCAGGTGCCCCTGCAGAACAAACAGCTGCTGAAAAGAGAGCTCGGGAGCCTACTCCCTCGAAAACACCGAGAGACTTTAAGAAGCTCAGCCACAACACAGACAAGTCAAGGATATCTGTTGCTCTTCCGCGGAATATAGCAGAGGTAAGTTGACATTATCAGTACATAATTACGACCTGTGATGTAATTATTAAAAACTGATTCCAAAACTGATTCCAAAGCTGAGTCAAACCAGAACTGTTCAATAGTTGTTGCCATCTTCCTTGTGCTTTCTCCAGCGTTGCGCAGCTTTGTCGTCACAAAACCCCGCCCACTTTGCATCCAGAAATTTAAAACACATCTCTGCGTTGTTATTGGCCCACCACTTCTAGGGCCTGGGGCATTAATCGAGACTAGACCACTCCCAGGCAAAAATGATTTTGACCGGTGGTGAGTGGGGCTAGTTTACTAGGCTGCTATTCTATCTGAACATCCCCAAAATAAAATGTTATTTAAAATCAGATAGTCTTCCATATGTGAGGTAACTCCTCAAAGACTGGGTCAAAATGAAGACTTAAAAACAATTTAAGCGTCACTCCTGCTCAGAACTGGAGTATTGGGCTATTGAGATGGAAAGGTCGGGTGTTTCTAATATAAACGAGTAAAGTAGCAGCAGACAGAATAATCTCTTTGTTGATGTTTCGATTATGTTCCATCATCTCTGTTCAGGTTCCTTTCCTTTTTTCTTCAGTGACCGTCTCTAGGGCTTCTCTCTGAAAGATTTAGTGCCAGCAGCTTTCAGCCCGCGGCTGCTGATGGACTATTCTGATGCGTGCTGCTTTAATGACATGCCAGCCTGGTGGCCTTTACGGTGTTTAGCAAGTGCTCCAGCCTGACAGGACCCACCTTAGTAACTGCACACAGCTATAAACGTCCAATCATTCAAAGACAGGCACAGGGGACCAAAAGCAGTAATTTCGAAGCACTTATTGAACTGAGATCCTAAATTAGAAGGTCATCTGGTTTTCAGTACTGGTTTGAGGCAGTTGGCAAAACAGTTTGAGACTTTATGGGTCTTATAGCACAGCTTTAGGATGGATTTACTTTCCACAAGAGGGCTACAGAGTGGCACAGTCTAGCAGTTAAAACTGCTTAATGCTCTGGTTGAAAGGAATGTGAATGAATAATAATGAGATTTTAAAGTCTGAATGAAAGAGCCACTAAACATATAGCCTAATTTTTGTAACCTTAACATGGCTAAATATTTTATTCAGCTTATTTACATAGGTTTTAAAGGGGAAAACTAGTTTCATATAACAAGTGTATATTTAACTCAGTTGGGATGTGAAAGTATAGATGGCATGATTTTGATTTACATTTTTAAAATGGTCCCTTTTTGCATGTACTTTTACATGTTCTCGCTAACAATTCTCAAAAGGAATTTAAAGGGATAGTGGAGGATTTTCCCAAATGTTTGAAAAGACCTGCCCTCTCCACTTAAAAAGAAAAAAAACAATGCACCTGCACAGCTTGTACTCGCACCTAAGAGGGAATTGATATTAAATGCGTGCAAGAGCACGCAGGACCCCATTTCTCCTTGTGCACGCTCTGCTTAGAAGTTGCTGTTTGCATGAATCATACAAGCCTACTTTCCAAAAGAAGATTTGCAATTTCTCAACTATGTCAGACTCACCACCGATAAGATGAAAATGGGGACGAACCCGGAGGACGGCCGTATGTGAACACATCACCGGAATGATTGACAATTAGAAAGACCGCTTATTCTGATGATCCACCCGGAAAAACAAAATCCTCCACTATACCTTTAAAAGAAGATCAAATTTTGTTTATGTTGCCATACATCTGCAATTATAAACACACAAAAACTGGGAGTAAAATGTAAAGTCCCATTAATTTGTCCCCTTTGGGTTCAACGCCTTTCATTATTCCCAGTTTCTGTCATTCTGTGTTTTTGGATGGCTGTTACCATCCCGTCTGCATTCTGGGTCCATCTTTACCAAATGCAATAATGCCATGAATCAATACTTTGTAGAACCCCCTTGTGCTAGAGTGAGTGTTTAGGGCATTAGATTAGATGTTGGCCTGCATAGCTTAAAAAAAGAATGGGAAATCTGCTTAAATCTTCTTACAAATCAACAGGTTAAAATTTGAGGCGGAGCAGATTCTCTCTCTTTAGCCTGCCAGTTAAGGTAGAAACCCATGTCTCGGTGGGTTTGTAGTTGTGCCAGGGTTTTTTTCATCTTGCTTGATGGATTGAACATGGCTCTATGAGATGTTTTGTAACCTAAGCTGGCTTTAAATTCTGCAAAAATTCCCCACTGACCCTTTTGCTGTGTTTTTCAGTCTTTAGATGTTGTTATTCGCTTATATTCTCTAACACATCTCTGAGGTTTATTTAATTAAGCTGAGGTCAAAGTTTAATTAAAAAACAAAATGAAACTTTTTTTTAGTTATTTGTCTTTAGAGCAAGTAATGAGTCATATTTAGCTCCACACTAAAACCTTTAAAGAACATCTGCATTCATAGTGAATTTAAATTACTCTATTTACCATTCGGAGTACTCTGAAAGACACAGTTTGCAATGAATTGTAGTAAATATTAAAAATTTTTGGTCAAAACCTCTCTTTTTTTTCTCATTCGGGGGATGTACTACTTTCTATTGATAATCCAAACAGTCTTTGATTGTAGTCTGCTTTAATCTAAATTTACCCACTTAATGGCACAGAGACCATCTGAGTGTTGGGACATTTACCAGAGGGATTTTGGTCCTGACACTACAAATCTGTTGATACAACCATACACTGATAAAAGCTGACTAATGAAAGGTTCCTGTTCATATCCAATTCACAATTTCTTCCTAGTTTTTGGTAATTTGAAAGAAACAAAAAGACATCTAGCAGTGAAGAAGACTTTCTTTTCTTTCCTTTCTTTGACTATGACTCATACTTCTGGATGGGAATTTATCCAGAATTTCCAGCATGATTTATAGCGTGTTTTGAGGCCTTGGCAGACAATGATGTTATATCACGCAGCTTATGGCTTCACAACTATCCTTTAGAGACGACAGAGAGAGACCAAAACTCCACAACTCTGAGACTTTTGCAGTGTAATATTTCTGTTTTTAACCAGTGTTGAAGTTTAATTTGTCTGTCAGAATGCTATATAGATCAGTGGAGTCAATCTGAGGCATCACTGACCTGGTTCACAAAGAAAGAAAATGCATGATCAGTTGCCAAGATGCTCTCTGGAAATCCAACCTTTGTGTCACTGGTCAGTTTTATAAGGAAAAATATTTGAAAAGGGTGAAAACAGATTACGAACTTTTTTAGGCTCAGCATAGCAATTGCTTAAACTTACTCCAAAAGTGGAATATTAACAACAAGCCCCCATTATAATAAAGAAATCTATAAGAAATGGATGCAGTGGCTTATTGGAAAGTTCTTTCCAATACTTTAAATTGTGAAAAATATATATGTATATGAAATAATATGAAAAAAAAATTTTTATCCATAGTAATAAGATACCTGCTCAAAACTGCTGTAGATTTGTTGCTGCACATTTCTGATGTGAATAAATCTTTGCACCACACAGCAAATATGCTGGATTAGGATCTGGGGACTAGGGGTGAATATTGGCATGGGTGTTACGATACGATGCTATGGTCACCATGCAATATGACGATATTGCAATATCACCATATATTGCAATATTTTTCCCATCCATCCATCCATCCATCCATCCATCCATCCATCCATCCATCCATCCATCCATCCATCCATCCATCCATCCATCGCGGAGGCAAAGATGCCCAGACTTCCCAATCCACATGCCTCGTCTAGCTGCTCTGGGGGGACCCCACAGTGACCCCAGGCCAGCTCGGAGACAGTCCTTCCAGTGTGTCCTGGGCCTTCCACAAGGCCTTCTCCCAATAGGACATTCCTAAAACACATCCTAAGGGAGGCGACTAGGAGACATCCGGAACAGATGCCAGAGCCACGTCTGCTGGCTCCTTTCGATGTGGAGGAGCAATGACCCCACTCCGAGCTCCTCACCTGATCTCGAAGGGTGCGCCCAGCCACCCTGCAAAGGAAATTTCGGCCGCTTGTATTCACGATCTTGTCCTCTCAGTCATTACCCATATCTCATAACAGGGTGAGGGTGGGAACATCGATCGATCAGTAAATCGAGAGCTCGGCCCCCCGACTCAGCTCCTTCTTAACCACGACAGTCCGATACAGTGACCGCATCACTTCGGATGCCACACCGATCTGTCTATTGATCTCACGCCCAATCCATTCCTTACTCATGAACACGACTACGAGATACTTAAACTCCTCCACTTGAGATTGATCGGTCGCATGCGAGCGCCTTGTGGTCAGCCCTTTGCCTACGGGGCCTGGCTAGGCTCAGCCTGAACTGGCGAGGTGGGCCCCTCCTGTGGACCCACCACCTGCAGAGGGATCTGTAGGGATCGGATGCAGATTTGAATGGGTGGGGGTCGAGGCGGGGTGCCTTGACTGGCCTTGTCTGCACACGCAGCTTCTGGCTGTAGGGATGTAGATCGTCACCTCGCTGGGGGGAAAGGAGCCTGAGCTTGTGTGGGAGGTTGAGTGGTACCGGCTGAATATCGTCGTTGTCACCTCTATGCGCAGCTTGGGTTTTGGATCCCATCTCCTGGAGAGAGGCTGGACTCTCCACTTCTCTTGTGTTGCCCACGGGGAGAGGTGGCAGGCTTGGGTGGCCTTGTTAATTGCCTCCAATCTCAGTCATCATGTGTTGGAGTTCACCCTGACGGAGTCATGTCCCTACGCCTTTGGGTTGGGGACAGGTCTCTCACCGTTGTCTCGGCCTATGGGCCCAACATCGTCGACTATGTGCTGCACTGTAGTTGACGAAAATCCCGGACGATTTCAAAATTCCCAATTTTTAGGTATGAAAAGTAGGACATGTTTGGTAAAAAGAGGACGTCTGGTCACTTTACAGTTTCTACAATTTAGATGTTTCAGTGAGTGAGTGCTTGTTGCTATGATGCGTCTCTGCTCAGTAGCTTTGCTCATTCTAGGGTTTTTAACCAAGCTTGCATTAGGGCTCATAGAACAGAAAATATGTAATTTCAGCCCAATCAATCTAACACACCCTATTCAGAGAACTTAAGGACCGGCACCAAATACCATATATAATCATTCTATGACCCCTTTAAAGCTTGTTGGTGATCCACAAAGAGCAGAGTAAGTGGTGACTGAGTGATCAGGGGCTTTAACAGACAAACTGAGCAAAAAAGTAAGAAAAATAAAAAAAATAAGAAAAACAAATAAGGTCTGAATTGACCTAACATTTTCTTGCAGAGACAGTTTAAAAAAATATCAAACTTAAAGATAATGCTTTATGGTTTGACTCTTGCATGAATGCTTGTTGAATACTTGCCTCAAAGTCTCTGCTGCTTCTCACATTAATTTGTCTGCAAATAAATGACCCAAATCACTCCAGCTAGATTTGTTTTCATGGGCACATACACAGATGTTAATGGGTTTTTTTTTCTTCCCAAAAAAGAAAACAATGACTTTGCCATAGATCGGTCTGGAATGGTTTAATGGAATGGTTATATTTGACAGTGGTAAGTCAGTGGTTAAGGCTTTGGGTTACTGATCAGGGGGGTAAGGGTCCAGAAACCATGTTTTGGCATGAAATTTCCATTATAAGCTAACAAATAGGAAAAAAAGAAATGTTAGGGATGTCAAACAAAATCAGGAATCCAGTAAATTGGTGTTAATTGGAACTAGCTGGAGCTTATTGGGCTGAGAAATTGGATAAAATTGTCGTCTCATATCATCAAGTATGCATAGTGTTGCATCAGCTAGATCTGGTAACACTTTATGTGCTTTGCTAAATTCTATATTCTTGAAAAACAACAGAATAGTAATCAAAATGTAGCCCCCCCCCCACCCCCACTCACTTACAATGAAAGCAGCTTCTTGAAACCTCATAACAGCCGTCGCCTTGGGCTGCATTTCTGCTCTGCGTTTAAATCACAAACTTCTTACCAGCATGATAGATGCCTGTGAAATTATTGGGCCCACAGAATATTTCTTCTCTGTTAAGGTCTGGCTGGAGTTCCTGTTGACATTCTTGTATGGAGAAGTGATAAAATATCATGTGCCTTTATACTGGATGTCTGGTAGAGAAACAGGGCAGCTTCCCATTCTTTCTAAGCCCTGATGTTGAAAGATAAGGCCTGACTGTCATATCACACATGTGAGGAACAAACATGGAAATGTAATGATCTGGTTATATTAAGATGGTTTCTTCCTGAAAAAGTGCAAATTTTCCCCTGAAATGAAAGATTTTAGGATGTCATTCTGAAATGTTTTTATGACCAACCATCCTGAGAACCAGTTATAAATTTGTCATGATCTTGGCACTAATGCCTCGTCTGATTGCTCATTTCATATACTTACTTAGCTCCGCCCAGTTCTCATTACCCACTTATCTGATCCACCCACATTAGTGTCTATATAACCAGCCTTCAGACCACTGATCAGTGCCACCTCATTTCAAGCCATTTGTGGGACTTATTCTAGCGTTCCAGTGTTTTAAATACCTTCATATCCTGACCTGTTCTGCTTCTCAACCTTTTCTGACACCTGCCGAAACTCTGCCTGTTTGTAGACCCTACCTGGAACTTTGACCCGACTCCGTCCTAGATTCTCCCTCTGCAGGTATCACCGGCTTTGGCTTCACCTTCTGGATTATCCTGCCTACATTTGTCTGCTCAGTTCTGACCTTCTACCTGTCCCCCGATCTCTAATAAATCAGCATCTGAAACTACCTGTAAGTTGACCCCTGCAGCCCGTTGGCAGTGAACGGCTGGGTCCATCCTCACCATGACATGGACTGAACTATAAGACCAGGTTAGTGACTCACACATTCTTTATCATCCACCTCCAGAAAGACGTGGTCACTAGCCTGCTTTCTATGTTGTTGTTATAACTACAGGTCAGAATAACAGCAAAAACAGCTAAAGCTGAATTCCAAAATATCCAAATAATCCAGAGCAGAACTTCTACAGCAGGAATTCTATAAGAAAAGGAAGCCATGAAAGGCAAGAGAGAAAAAAAAATCTGGACAAGAAAAGTTTGAAGGTTTTTTTTTTTTTCTTGTATTATTTTCTGCCCTAAAAGACAAGTTTTTTCTTGTCATACTTTATTTTTCCATTAGAGGTAGACAGTCACTTACGGCTGTATTCTTCAACAGTATATAGTCAGAGAGGCATGGTTTTCAAGAATCAATGTCCCACATATATTGTAAATTTTTTCGAAGTACAAGATACAAATAAGATACAAAAGCTGTGTATTCATAGGCCATGGCATGTGTTTAACACATGAACCTTGTATTGTTATGAGCAATAGAGAATTATTTGTAGGGATTATCCAGCTTATTTGTAGGACAACATCATGACTGCTCTTTCTTCAGATAAAAACTGTATTACCCAGATAACCTTAAACTTGCTGTCAGTCAATGCTTATCATAAGTTAACTTAAAGTAGAAATGGGTGTAAGAAATAATTTGTTAACAATTTAAATATGAATCATTCAATTCAGTCCAGTTATGTTTATTTGTATAGCCGGCAGTCAAAGCGGCAGGTGGCTTGGCTGGTCGCTGAGGCAAAAACTCGGGCGTGTGAAGAGTTCGGAGAGGACATGGAGAAAGACTTCCGTAGGGCTCCGAAGCAATTCTGGTCCACAGTCCGGCGTCTCAGGAGGGGAAGGCAGTGCAGTACCAACGCTATTTATAGTGAGGGGGGGGTGTGCTGTGGTGTGTACTCCACCCATCATATGTCGGTGGGCGGAGTACTTCAAAGACCTCCTTAATCCCACCAACATGTCTTCCATTGAGGAAGCAGAGCCTGGGGGATCCGGCTTGGGTTCTCCCATCTCTGGTGCTGAAGTCACTGATTCCTGAAGAGTCAATGGGTCGAAGCAATCAACGGGTTTTGCTTAGATAGAAAACTTTAAATCAATTTGACTGTATGACCTGGTGAACTGTAAAGTACCTTGAGATTAAATGTGTTGTGAATTTGCGCTATATAAATAAACCGAATTGAATTGAAGGGTTCATATTTAAATTGTTTTTAAATTGAAAACCAGGCCCCTCTAACTATATTCCGTTGAAGAACACAGCCGTAAGTGACTGTGTTATTACATCAGTGCCTCTAGTGGAGAAATAAAGTATTAAAAGAAGAAACAGAAAAATTACCTTTTTTTTTTATTTAATATTTTTTCTCTCTTGCCTTTCAGGGCTTCCGTAATAAGAGGAATAGGTGCATGCATGTAGATGGTTTTAAATCTCTCTTTGAACTTCCTAATGTATTTAATATTTTACATTTTCTTTTGATAAAGTGTTGGATTTATTTACATTTCACATTTTAAATGTCTGCCTCAAACTGCCAAGATAGAACAAATATCATGAAGTTTTCTAGATCAGCAGTTTGTCATTTCAATCATTTTATTAGTCTCTCACTTTTTATTAAAAGGGTGAAATAAATATTGTAACATTGGGTTCAAATAAATCTCCAATAGGGACTTCAGGCTGTAGCTTGCTGGTTGAATTTATGTGTACTAAATTCTGCCGGGGTATGTACTGTATACTTAACGCTGAGTTTTGTAAGATGAACCACCATCTTTGGGATGCTGATTGGAAATTCCAACCTCTAGGTTCAAAAGAACCGTATCATAAGTCTATTGTGTAAACTGTACAATTTTACTCTCACTGGTGTACTGATTATCTGGATGATAGTGTTCTGGCATTTCTCCCTGTTTATGAGAGGAACATCTTGAGACTGATTCATCAAAATGATGCAAGTTTAATCCAGGAAATGTGTCCCAACCAGCTGTTTTTTTTTTTTTTTTTTTTTTTTTTTTTTTTGGACTGTTTAAAGTGTCATAACATGTCAATTTTTCCCCTCCAGTCTTGTTAGCTTTAATAGAGACAAAGCAAAGGACAGAAATGTTAGTCAACCTGGAGTCCAGAGTTAGAAGATTAAAACAGAACACATTTGGACATAATAACAAGGAAAAGGTTGTGCCTGAAGCTGACTTGAAAAAATAACCTTCTGGGTATATTTCTGAAATAAACAAATTGCATTAAATACATAGGAAAGTATTATTCCAAAGGCCAAATACTTCTTTTTACAACTCAAGTGCTTTTAAAAGAATGTCAACTTTACTTTTATCAACAGGAACATTTAATGACCTACTTAAGTGTTTCTAATAATCTGGAGAGCAAAATGAAGAAAATGTGCACTAGTCGTGTTACTGAACACTGAGTAACTCTTTCATTTGTCATATAAACACATGACTCCTCCACTGCAAAGTGATGCTGAGCAGCACGGTGCAAACTCCAAATATGGAACCAAAAAAAAAAAAAAAATGGACTGGGAAGCAAGTGGAATCCCACTAAGCACCCTGCTCAGTTATATTTCAGCTCTGTTTACGATGCTGTTTCGGTCAGCAGGTGAATATAGCTGCCCGCCGCTCTGCTGAGAGAACAAGTGGAGTTTGGCTCCTCCAGGTTTGACTCATAGACTTTCATAACAGGCCATTCATTCACTGTTTAACCTGACCTCTGTGGGGGTTTGCATGATGGAAAGCATGTTTAACTGGAAAATTATAATAAAACACTCATAGGTATTCAACACTTTATTTTGCCAATCTTTAATACGAGTTAAATAGTCTTTCTGTAGACTGTTTATGTAACAGACCATTTCAATTAATTCCCCGCTCAAAAGTTTTTGTCTTTTACACTGATTATTTCTTTAAACATTGTGAAGCTCTACTTAGAACCTTCTTTAGATCCAATAGTGCAAAATGCTAATTCTTGCAATTTTTTGACTGGTCTTAAGATTTTGATCAGGAGTGTAGTATAATGTAAGTTATATATAATGGAAAGACAGCACTAACTTTTTCTGATCATTTAATACTTTGTTAGTGGGAGGGCTGATAAATGTGACCAACTCTACATGACCCTCAAGGATGCAAAGTTTTATTTAAACTTGCTCCCTTTTTGTGAATGTGATGGTTTTGTGTAGTATGCTAATGTGGAGTCTCTCTATAACTGGATCAATAGACCAAAGGCGTATGATGACTTCAAATAATTGTTTAAATGTTTAATGTTATGCAGATCTGCTCTTGGTGTTTGTGCAAACACATGTTTGTACATTCTTGTATCAGCAGGTGAAAGAAATCTTGTCCAATCTGCAGCATTGTGAACTTAAGCAACCAGACATTTGGTTAGTTTTGCACAAGAACATAAGGAGGCAGAAGCAGTCCCCAATAAGTATTTCAGAGGCAAGCTATTCAAAATTCTAGGAAAATGGTTTAAAAAATGATTACTGCTAAGCTGTCCATTGGGTTCAGCTGAAAATATGATCTGGCTTTGTTTGTTTGAGAAAAAGAAGATATATTTTTTTATTGAAGGAACAATTTAGACTGCTGGTTCGTACATTTTTTAATGCACCTTGGAGATATTGAATCTGTGTATAAATTAGTACCTAAAAAATAAATCTTTTTTTATGTAGATTAAGAATAGTCATCACTGAAAGTGTATAAAAGAGGAATAAGCCAGACAACAACAAAAGTCAACAATATAGCTCATACAATGGGTTTTATTTCTTCTTATGATCACACAGACACTCGTCCCTTTATCTCTGTGGAGTATTTAGCTGCTGCTCTTCAAATCTCTCATGAGCTGTTTTTAGAAGTTCTTGGAAGTCAGCCAGACTCCAGCCTCCCTCCATGAATACACTGCAGTTCAGTGTCCTCACAACCCCACTCACATTGCAGAGAGTCATCACATTTATACCAAAGGGTTTCTTTTATCATATTCCTGAGCTGGGAAGTTTAAACACCTGATATAAGAGCTGCATCTCCTCAATGACTGTCTTGTGTGCTATACTTGGCTGTGAGGCTAATCATAAATTCATATTGCAGTTGTTTGAGGACAAGCTGCACCTTTAAAAATGTGCTGTTTAAAAATATTCATGCGTAATGGTTTTTGTAAAGTGACCCACCCAGATCAGGTCCAGCCAGACCCGGCAGAGGAGCAGAGAAAACATATTAAACTGCATAGTACATGTCTCCTGTGAATACTGAAACAGAATAGAAAGTACTGCCAATTAGTTGAAACACCTGCCAAAAAGAAAATAATTCTTTAACAGCTGTATGATTTGGGAGATTTTTAAAACGTACACCCACTTGCTTAACCCTCGGTATAATAACTGGATTTTTATCATTTGTTCCATCCTTTTATTTTTCTCCTCTTTGCAGACTTCCTCTGGGATTGGAACAGCCAGGTTCGAGCGCCGCAGATGTGTGCAAGGGGCCAAATTTCCAATCTGAAGTTAGTAGGGGGGTTCAGACATCAACAGTAAGGCCCCAGCCTCTGGGTTTGTACTATTCATGATGTGATAAATATTTCTTGGGGGAAAAAAAGCAAGAAGGGAAAACTGTACATTCCAGTCCTGCAGAAAGCGCAACAACCCCACACTTTCATGTCACTTTAAGGGGAACTTGATTATTCTAAATTATTCTAATAGACCTATGCCTGGTCTGTCTCTTTTATTACGGTCATAAGAGGAAGAGCCCAAACAGTAGACCAAAAATAGTTTTTAATTCCTGTTTTTAAGTGAAGGTGCAAAATCAAGATTTTTTTAAATATCAATTATCTGGGTGTTTTATTTAAAATGTCTTACTTTAATCAGCCAGAATTAGTTTGAATTGAATTTTTTCTCTTCTCCCAGTTAGTCCCAGTTTAAATCTAATTAAATCAATATCAAATATGAGAGTGGAGATGTGCAAGAACATAAAATGCAATGCTTTATCAGTGTTGCATGATCTACATTATTTTTGTGTCTTAATCCTACTAAACTCACTAACCAGCAGAGTTAAGCAGCTGCAGCATCCATGTTCTTGAGATCCTGTCCCCTCAGCAGTTTCTGCAGGATTGGCCCTAATATCCTATGCTAACACAGGATAGCTTAGATAAAAAGTGTACTAAAATGAACTGCTTTAGCCTTTTTTTCTGAAAATGTGACTACACACTAACAATCCATCCATCCATCCATCCATCCATCCATCCATCCATCCATCCATCCATCCATCCATCCATCCATCCATCCATCCATCCATCCATCCATCCATCCATCCATCCATCCATCCAGTAGATTTCTCTCTAGATTCCCCTGAGAATCTGGAGATTTCGTTGTACCCTGCAGAGATTCAACGCACCCAGTGTCAGATGAAGCAAAGCTGCCCCCAGGCATAACAGAGCCTCCTCCATGTTTCAGAGTAAAGACAGTGTTCTTTTTTCAATATGTTTAATTTTTCCATGTGCTAACATAGAGTGGACGTGTTCTGGCAAAAATGTGACAATTTTGTTTCATCTCTTCATATGAAATTCTCCCAGAAGCTTTGTAACTAGTCAAAATGTAGTTTGGTAAATTTCAAAAAAAAATTTATGATTTGTTTTCAACAATGGTGTTCTCCTTGGTCATCTTCCATTAAGTTCACTTTGGAGGAAGTTCACATTTGCAGGTTACTTTCGTGAAAGTTGGATTTCTTTCAGGAAACTTCAAAGTCACTTTCTTGGAAATAACAGGCTTTTCTTTTATGTTGTCTTTCAGAAATCCACAGGTTACTTTGCAAATGTGCAGACAATTTCCAGAGAAAAGCTCAGACATCTGGAATTATGTCACAATTCACTTTCTCTATGTTGATGGGAACCTTTACACACATCTCCACTCAGTCACAGCTGCATACAGACAAACTCTTTCCACTTTTATTTTGACTTTTGGCTCAGCTTCTGCAGAAACAGGAGTTCAACAATAATACATCATCAATAAATTTGTACTCTGCTCTGGCATAACAGTTTCAAAGCATTGCAAACTGACAGCTGCCTTATGGTAACATCCATTAATCAACAATCTGTCTTTTTTAATTCCTATTCTCAAAAATAAAATTAAAGTTATTTATTACTGAATGTTGCCAAATAACATGCAGACAACCTCCTGACATGAGCCACATCTCCTTGAAAGGACAAGAGTCCAAGTTATACTACGCTGATCCTAATGTGTTCAGTATCGCAATCCATTATTTATTCTAACATGTTGATTAGAGAACACTCAAAGTTCTGTTTTTTTACCATCAAAGTTTAAAACCTGTTGACATCGTCTGAAAAAGCTCAATCTAACACTTATTGATCTGAGACACCTGCTCAGCTTATGTGTGAAATGTGAGGAATCTCTCACCTTTTCCAGAACTTAAAAGAAGACACATTTAATTTTTTCAGATGTTTAAAGATTTTCTTTTTGACACATCTTCCCCAATAGACTTTGGTGCCAGAAATATATATTTGTTATTTGTGATTACAACGCCTTCCTTTATTTAAGCTCTTCATTTTTGGTGCAGAATTGCATAAGGTTGGAAATAAAGCTTTTATTAGTTACTTGAACTCTTCAAAATGGAAACTATTTGTAGTGATAGCATTTCAAGGCCAAAAATTTGCTTTAAGTTTACTGTGGGAGGATGCCAAATACACCTCTGTTTTATAAGCGGACATGCCTATATTAATGCCAAATGAAAAAAGATTTGTGTGCCATACTAGTGAAATAAAAAAATTAAATGTGTGTGATTTACAGTAGATAGAAAATATGGGAAATATGAAGTCTTCTTAGTCAAATGATTCCTATGTGGCTGTCCTGCTTTTATGTTTTGAAATGTTCCAGGTGTCATCTTCGTAGGCAAGCATAGTGGTAGGGAACCAAAGTCACAATGGCTTCCAGACAAACAAAAAGAAAGTGGAGTAATATGCATGATCAATGTGAAAAACAATAATAAATCAACAAAATCACTCCTGTGGCCATTGACCTTTATCAGCCAAGGAATGAAAAACTGTCAAAGACAAAATGACTCTGATTTCTTACTATGACACACTTAATTACTTATGGATATGCACTCTAAGTGGATATCCATAAGTAATTGAAGGAGCTTTACAGCCTGAAATCCAAGAGAAAATAGCTTTGTTAATGATGTCCGAACTCTTGAATTGAATCATATGGTTCTGTTTATTGGGAGAGTAAGTAATTATAATAACATAAAAAAAACATGTTCCTTTTGACTTTCAGGTAAAACAAACATCATCAATGCTGACAAGGAGGCCATTTAATAACATTCGGAAGTGTGTCAATACAGCTAAAGCTTAACATGACACTATACAGCTAGGCAGGCATGTGGAGGTTCAGCATAACATAGGTAACGGAGCAGAGACTCACTGCATCATGAACTGAACGCTAGAAAACAACAAGGAAAACCCCCCTCAGCCTTGTTTTTTCATTTGCTAAAACTTGCTTTCCTGAAAGCATGAAAAAAGTGCTCCTCTCCAGAATAACTGTCCAGACTGATGGCATGGCCTTGACTATGCCTTCATCCATCCATCTTCTGACACGCTTAATCCTAAGTGGGGTCATGAGGGGTGCTGGTGCCTATCTCCAGCTGTCTACGGGTGAGAGGCAGGTACACCCTGGACAGGTCACCAGTCTATCGGAGGGCCAAACAGGACAAACAACAATTCACAAATACACCCAGAGAAACCCCACACATGCTCAGGGAGAACATGCAAACTCCATGCAGAAAGACCTTGGCCGGGAATCGAACCCGCAACCTTCTTGCGGCAAGGCAGCAGTGCATCCCCACTGCACCTCTGAGCAGCCCTATGCCTTCATGTTAGTCCATTAATCACCTTACCCTCAGATCCTCGTCACTGGGAACAAGCACTTTCATGGACAAGTACATACATGGACATGCACACTTAGTGTCAATGTGTGGCACAGCCTTAAAAAATATAATGGTTGTTCATGTATCGTGACATTATGTACACAAACTAATAGTACAGCTCTGTGCATATTCTGCAGTGTGGCATGAAAAAAATCTCTTTCTGGCAATAATTTTTCAATTTATATAAGAAATCATGAGTAAAACTCCTAGGAGGTCCTCATGGATTCCTCCAACTACAGGATAATTCAGAGTAGGATCAATGCCTTCTCATTTCTGAATGATCAAACACTATTTGTCTGACAGCGCATAAGAAGGATATTTTGCTCATTACGCTCAAAGAAGCATATGCTACTAGACTAATATACACTGCCTGGCCAAAAAAAAGTCGCCTCCTGGATTCAACTAAGCAAATAGGTACAAGCCTCCTAATGAATAATTACTGCATGGGCGATTATCTTTCAGCTGGCAACAAGTTATTTAACCCCAACTGATGCAATGACTTGCTTCTCATTTCCTAAACAACCATGTCGAAAGACACATCCCGTGGTCGTGGAAAAGAAAAGATGTTAGTCTGTTTGAGAAGGGTCAAATCATTGGCATGCATCAAGCAGAGAAAACATCTAAAAAGATTGCAGAAACTACTAAAATTGGGTTAAGAACTGTCCAACGCATTATTAAAAACTGGAAGGATAGTGGGGACCCATCATCTTCAAGGAAGAAATGTGGCCGGAAAAAAATCTTGAATGATCGTGATCGGCGATCACTTAAACGTGCGGTGAGATCAAATCGAAGAAAAACAACAGTAGAACTCAGGGCTATGTTTAATACTGAAAGTAAGAGCATTTCCACACGCACAATGCGAAGGGAACTCAAGGGATTGGGACTAAACAGCTGTGTAGCCTTAAGAAAACCACTAATCAGTGAGGCTAACCGAAAAAAAAGCTTAAATTTGCTAGGGAGCATAAAGATTGGACTGTGTAGCAATGGAAGAAGGTCATGTGGTCTGATGAGTCCAGATTTACCCTGTTCCAGAGTGATGGGCAAAGCAGGGTAAGAAGAGAGGCAGGTGAAGTGATGCACCCACCATGCCTAGTGCCTACTGTACAAGCCTGTGGGGGCGGTGTTATGATCTGGGATTGCTGCAGTTGGTCAGGTCTAGGTTCAGCAACAGTATGTGCTCAAAGAATGAGGTCAACTGACTACCTGAATATACTGAATGACCAGGTTATTCCATCAATGGACTTTTTCTTCCCTGATGGCACAGGCACATTCCAAGATGACAATGCCAGGATTCATCAGGCTCAAATTGTGAAAGACTGGTTCAGGGAGCATGACACATCATTTTCACACATGGATTGGCCACCACAGAGTCCAGACCTCAACCCCATTGAGAATCTTTGGGATGTGCTAGCGAGGGCTTTGCAGAGCGGTCAGACTCTACCATCATCAATGCAAGATCTTGATGAAAAATTAATGCAACACTGGATGGAAATAAATCTTTTGACATTGCAGAAGCTTATCGAAACAATGCCACAGCGAATGCGTGCCGTAATCAAAGTTAAAGGCGGTCCAACAAAGTATTAGAGTGAATGACCTTTTTTTTTGGTGGCGACTTTTTTTTTTGACCAGGCAGTGTATTTATCATCTAAATTTATATATTTTTGTATTAATATATGCTTATATAAGACAAATAAATAATATGAAAAATAACTTTTTGTACTGCAGTTCTGCACTTCTCAGTAAGGAAAAAATGCTGGGCAGTTATTGAAGTGTTACATAAAAAAAAAAAAAAAAAGAAAAGCAGTAGCTGGTTAAAAAAGT